ACAAAGAAAGAGCTTTTTATCAAATAGCCTGATTTTAGGCAATTGTCAGCAAAGACCTGTCGTCTCACAGCCAGTAAGAGAAAAAGAAATTAAAAAAATACATATATATTGCATCTTTTAAATCATAAGGAACAGACCTTGAAAATCCTTTTGAAATTGGTCATTTATTTGATAGATACATAAATCCAAAAGCTAACAACAAGGACTATTTGGAGAAGTTAGCATGTCACTATTGTTGAGACCACCTGTCACATGTTACGTGAGCCTGGGACCTCGTGGAATAAAGTCAGCCCTATGGCTCTGTCTTTGTCTTTAAAAATGTTGTATTTATGGAGCAGGATTGATTTTATGTGTCTGAGAAAGTCTACGATTCTGCTCACGGCCATTTGCTGACTAACGTCTCCAGCAGAGAAGGGCAACAAGCAAGTTCATGAATTATGGTTCTCCTTGAGGTTCTCTTCCAAGACTATTTTTTATTTTAGGAACGTCTGCTTTGATTAAGGCCATTAGAGCTGGGAGCAAATAAAAATGTGTCTGAATTTTATGTGTGTTGCATTTTAAAGCAGGAACCCAGATGAAGCCTGTATTTTAATTCTTATACTACTAAGGCAAGTGATGAGGATTAAATTAACAAGTTAAACTAGTTCCTCCTCAACTACCTGCTTTGGGGTTCTAAAACAATCCTATGGCAGGAGACTCTTTGGTCAAATAATTTATTTATCTGTTCTCTACATTGCTGCAAAAATATTTTCATTTATTTACATACCCCCTTTTTGGGCAAAAATGCTTTAACGTGTTGGGGTGGGAGGGTTCCAGGTTTATGAATGAACCTATAACCACCCTTGTCAACTTATTTTTATATTCACTAAACAAAAAGATTGTCTGTACAGTAACCATACAAGACCTAAGTGATGTTAAATTATCTGTAACAAAGGTGATCTGGTGATTAATTTTTGTTTGTTCACTAGAAAGCTCCAGCGTGTCTTCCCTCCTCAGTTGAACCACGGTTTTGTGGCTGGTTTTGTGGCTGGGAGCTAGCATTCGTGAAACAGTCAGTGTTTCCCTGATTCTGTGATGTGAAATCATCGAATCCCTCTGTGTAACAGGACTTCAGGGTCACTAAGTCTTGAAGTGGAAGACGCTTTGAGTGGTCTTTATTTAATCCGGTTGGAACAGTGCAGTAGGTAGTTCTTAAAACTCCCAGCCCCTTTCCGCTCTGCCCTTGGTCACATTTCCTGATAGAGCATTTTCCTTTAATCTCTCTCTCAGCACTCTCCCTTCCCTACCTCCACAGAAGGGTCTGAATTTTCTCTTCTCTGGCTTCCTTTCTTTCTTCCAAGCCGTTCTTTGCATCGAGGTGTTGGCTTCGCCTTTCTCTTCTGTTCCTAGTGTGCCGAAGCCAACCTGTGGGTGCGGAACTGGGCTATCCCGTGCGTGGAAGTCACCCCAGGGGAGATGTTGCAGGAGCTTTCCAGAAGTAGCACAGGCAGAGCCCCAGTAGATGACATTTGGTATTGCTTACGTGGACAATGGCCTCCGTATAAGTGATAGCAGGACACGTAGCATATGCCTTGTACACAGAGACGTTCCGTGTATCAACTCTCTCCCGTTGTCTATTAGCTTGTATCTGTCAAATATCCATGAAATTAACAGACCATATTCCATTGACCCTTTTGTGTTTATTCCTAATCATTTACCTATTGAATGAACGATCTCAAGCCTTGTTGGGAATATTCGCACACCAGAATTAAGCTCCTTGCACCCCTCAGGTGATAAGTAAGGTAGGCTTTTCCATATTCTTTTTCCGGAGAATTTTTGAGCACCACTTTGACATTATAAGTTAAGTAGTGAAATAAAAAAATATTAGTGTTTTTCTACAGGCTTTGTAATTTCCTGTGCTGGGTTGATGGACATTAACTGGTGAATTATGTTCGATTTGGAATGTGTAGATATATAGATGTTGGTGTGCATGATGCGAAAGTATCTATGAAAATGTTACTCTTCCATACCTTCTATGCAGATCAATTTGAAGTCACACAATGTAGCTACATTGTAATTTCTGGTGGAGAAAGTGCGTGGAGTTCAGTCGCCTCTAGGCCTGGCTGAGTGATAGGCAAGTCAAATGATTTGTATAAACTGTCCCAGTTGCAGTCGGGGAGGGAAGTTCAGGCAGAACCCAAAAATCCTTGGTTCTTGCCCTCAGAGTATCCCGGAGTCCCCTGAGGGCTCACGGCATGTGTTCAATGTGTGGCCTGACCCGGGCTATTTTGCAAATCAGTGGGACGGCCCAGGACATGCTCTGAGAAGGGCTGAGTGATGGGATAATTAGAACCAAGCAGCAGCGGGGTGGATAGTTTGTCTACAGATAATAGCTTGTTTGCTAATTGCCAACACCAGATTTTCTAGGCAATTAGACACTTGATTTCTTCCAAGACCGTCTGTGCAAATGTGGACACATGGCCTCAGGCCTTCCAGGTAGCAGGTGGGGAGGGTGGCTCCTGCTGCATCTCTCTGCAGGCTGCCCAAGAGCCGTGGGCAGGGAGGATCTCTGTCAACAGGTGGAAGGACCATCTTGCTGGATCCCCTAGTGGAGAGGCAGAGTTCCCCCTGCCTTCGTGGAAGGGGGTGGCTTTGTGCTGGGAGATTAGCAAAGATGGTGGAGTTTAGCACGCTGGTCAGGAACTGAGCTACTTCTCCATTCTCTTTTCAAGAGCAGTGGGCCTTGGGTGCTAACAGGAATCAGAAATAGCTCCCCCTCCCAGATGAGCAAGTTGATTTTTTTAAATAACATGTTTTTATCATGGTATGTATAACATAAAATTTGCCACTTTAACCATTATTAAGTGTATAATTCAGTGGCATGAATTATATTTCCAATGTTGTGCAACCACCACCACTATCTATTTCTGAAACTTTTTATTACCCCTAACAGAAACGTTGTACTCATGAAGCAAGAACTCTCCATTCCTCCCTCCCTCCAGCCCCCGGTAACCTCTAATCTACTTTCTGTCTCTGTGAATTTGCCTATTCTGGATATTTCACATACAACATTTTTCCTTTTGTGTCCAGCTATTTCACTTGGTGTCATGGTTACTAGGTTCACCCTGGCTGTAGTGTGTATAAGAATGTCATTCCTTTTTATGACTGAATACTATTCCATGCTATGGTTATGCCACGTTTTGTTTATCCACTCATTTGTTGATAGACACTTGGATAGTTTCTACCTTTTGGTTTTTGTGAATAATGCTGCAGTGAACATTCACGTACAAGTATCTCTTTGATTTCCTGTTTTCAGTTCTTCTGGGCGGAGACCTGGGGGTGGAATTGCTGGGTTGTATGGTAATGCTATACTTGACTTTTCGAGGAACTGCCAGACTGTTTTCCACAGCAGCTGCCCCATTTTACATTCCCACTAGCACTGCACAAGGGTTCCAATTTCTTCAAATCCTTGCCAACACTTGTTATTTTCCTTTTTAAAAAATTACAGCCATCTCAGAGGGTCTGAAGTGGTATCTCCTTGTGGTTTTGATTTACATTTCTCTAAAGACCAGTGATGTGGAACATCTTTTCATGTGCTTACTGACCATTTGTGTATCTTCTTTGGGGAAATGTCTATTGGAGTCCTTTGCCCAGTGAGCTGATTTTGTGCCTGTCATTACTGGGCTACACATCTCTGTCCCTGAGGTTGGAACTGAGCCTCCCCAGGAGGAGTGAGGCCGCAAGCCTGCAGAGAGGGAAGCGGCTATGCAGACGCGAGGCTTCACATTCTCTCTCGCGTGACTCATTTCATTCCCTCAGCCTGTTTGGTACCCGCTGTGATGATGCTGCTGGAGTTCTCACCAAGCAGAAAAAGAAATCAGCAAGGGCCTGGGATTAACCTAAAGTGATTTAGCAGAAGAGGCAGATGGAGCCACTGCTCGTGCTTGCCTAGGAGGAGACAGGCCTTTCTCAGACACCTCAAACCCTCTGTGTTTCCTTGACCACAAGTATTGTTTTAGAAGATTACCCACTTTTACCTATAGCAGGTATAAGAATACGCACTCAACAGAGCAGCGCGTGCAGAGCACCTGGGTGGTGCCTGGGGTTCACAGGTGCCCAGGGTCCGGCCATCCTGTCCACGGCGGGAACATGCCGTTCTTGCTGGGCAGCGGGCAGGGAGAGCACTGAGGAGCATTCCAGCACTGACCAGGGAGAGTGTGACTTCCTTGGGGTCCCACTCCCGGGAGGAGGAGGACCCCTGGGCACTGGGAAGGCTTCAGAACAAATGCTATGCCTGAATAATGGTGACAGCAGCAGGGCAGTGGACAGAACGGTGTCCTGCTGCTGAGCTGTTGGCCCTTCTCCCAATTGACCTGGTGCCCGTTGTGGGGCCCCGTCTGCAGGGGCTGGGAATGCTAATCCATCTGCCTTTTTGCTGTGGTTTTTCTTGTTGAATGTCCAGAACCTTCAGTATCACTGAAGAGAGATGAGTTCACCACGCTCTGGCATCCACTAGGCAAGGACACTCTTTTCAGAAGTTGTGCTCCTGCCCTATGTTCCTAGGATAGGGGTGGTTAATCTTTGGGGAGAGTGTCCTACACCCCTTGGGGAACCTGAGGGCTGTGGATACTCTTCCAAGAAAATGCACACAAAAATTGCACCTAATCTCAGGTTCTGCTAGTCCATCGTGGAGCCCAGGTGAAGAGCTGACTCCACAGAGGCTGCAGCCAGGAGCTAGGGGCTTTTGGGGACTGAGCAGCATCTCCTACTTAGCAGGGGCAGGTGGCACAGAGAGGCCTGGTGGTCGCTGGGGAAAAGGAATATCTCATTTGGTCAAGTTCTAAATATCAAATACAAGGGCGTGCTGGAACGATGTCCCCGCCATCCTGGCGGGGGTTGGGCCTTGCCCATCGGTGAGGGGGCTCTCCAGAGGCAACAGTGCCAGGCCACTCAGCCCTCATTTCTGCTCCCAGGATCAGCCTATGCCACTTCTAAGGGGTGGACTTTGTCTTTCTTTTCAGAAACGGCTCCCACATCTGCATATTCATCTCCAGCGCGGAGTCTTGGGGACACAGGAATAACGCCTCTGTCCCCTTCCCATATCGTGGTAAGAATTATGGTGTGTGTGTGTGCGTGTGTGTGTGCGTGTGTGTGTGTGCGTGCACGGACAAGTGCTAACTGTACTTTCTGGGTCTGATCTCACAGTTCAGGCTGCTGGGCAGCCCCTCCCCTTTGCTGGGTGGAGGCTAAATTGACCTGGGATGAGCCACATGAGCCCTGCCAAGCCCCTTCCCCACTTTGGGCCTGAAAAGCCTTCCATGGTGTGGCTGGTGCTTCTGGAGCTGTGGGAGGGTCGTGGGGACAGGCAGGGTGGGAACAGCCCTTAAAGGCTCAGGGCTCAGAGGCTGCGCGGCATCCTCTTAGAAGGAAGCAGCCATTAAGACTGCACTTAACCGCCCTGTCGGGTAGAGGGGCTGGGGAGGGGGCGGTTGCTCCCACCACTCCCTGTGCTGTGAGAGGAGATGGGTGTTGTGGGAGCTGTCCGAAGTGGTGCACACGTGGCCCACCCGAGAGCGATCCCTGGAGGAGAGAGCAGCTCTGCATGAGCTCAGAGTCACAAAGAAGACCCGACTCTGTTGAGAACTTGGGAGCCACCACTAGGTAGGGTGCCAACTCGTCCTGGCTTCCTGGAACTGTCCTGCTTTACACCAAGAGTCCTGGGGAACCCCTCAGTCCTGGACACACTGGGAGGGTTCGTCCCCTGGGGCCAGGTCCTATGGTTGTCAAACTGCACCCTGAGGGCACCCTGTGAGAGCCTCAGGGTGTGTGGGGAAGGAGGGCAGTGGGAGGAGAGGCCAGACAGGTGGCGTTCTCACCCCCACTTTAACCAAGACAGGACAAATCCAAAATTTGTTAGTTTTATAATGGGAGAACTCCCTCAGAGTTCTGTGGGAATTAAAAAGAAAAAAATCTACACTGCTTAAAAAAAAAAACGATTTGGAAATATGGCATGGCCTGACCAAGCGACTTGCCAGATGAGGAAAGGCCCTGGGCCCGGAGGGGATGGGCTCAGGGGGTCTGCAGTTGGTGCCGTGGGATCGGGCACGGTCCCGGGATGCCCAGCCCTGTTCACGGGCACGGAATGCTGGCACGGGTGGAGTGGTCACCCGGGAGGTACAAGGGACACAGCTGGCAAAGTGCTTAGGCGGGGATGGGCGGTCTGCATGGGGATGTGGGGAGGGTGGGTTCTGCGGGGGGCGGGGGTGTCTACTCGGGGAAGTACTGGCGCCAGCCCTGAGGGCAGAGTTTCCGCAGTCGGGTGCGCGTACGGGTTGACAGGGAAGTGGGCACGCTCGCTGCAGGCAGGTGCCCTCGCCCTCCACTCGGGCGCCTCCATTTCTCCCTGAACCTCTCCGGTGAGGAGGCCTGCCCTCTCCCAGGGCTCACCAGATGGCAGACTTGAGCTGGGACATGGAATGTCCTTCTGTCTGCAGTGCGTACACACCTTGGCAGGGTGGAACCACCCAGGGTGTCTTCCCGAGGGCTAGGCCCAGTCCGCAGCCCCAGTGCTTCTCTGTGTGTCTGCAGAACGATGCCGACCCCGACGTCTCGGAACAGCAGTCATTTCTCGTGGTGGTGGCCATCGACTTTGGGACCACGTCCAGTGGCTACGCCTACAGCTTCACCAAGGAGCCAGAATGCATCCACGTGATGAGGCGAGTGCTGTGGGTGGGGAGGAGCACGTCGCTGGTGCCAGTCACTGCACCTGTGGGGACTCAGGGGCAGGATTAGGCAATGAGCCGGGGAATGGCACTGAGGAGGAGGACCCAGGATTCTAGTCCAGCTGGGCCCAAACTGACTGCGCTGATTGGAGCAGGCCATTTCCGACGTCTGGGCTCTGGGTTCCTGGTCTATAAAAGCATTAGTTTAATTCTGATTTGGTTGGTGTGGGGAGGGGCCGGGCACTATGTCTGAAGCCTGGCCCAGGTGAAAGGCGTAGACCCATGGAGTGTCTGTAATGGAGGTGACCCAGGTGCCAGCTCAGCCACTTCCTGCATGACCTTAGGCAATTGCTGAACCTGCTAAATCTCAGTTTCCGCACCTGTGAAATGGGGATAATAACAGTACCTGCCTGATAGTATGCAGGGTCAATGAGTCAAGTGCTTAGTGCATAGTGAAGTGTAAGCAGGGAAGGCTCCCGTTCTTTCTGGTGAAGAGAAGTCATGGGGTAATGGTAGGCAGAGCAGAAAGCAGTGTGGGGTGAATCTCAGCCAAGTGGCCCTAAAGGCAGAGTTGCCCTGGGCCTCCTGGGAGGCCCTCTGTGCCAGACCCTCCCTTCCCTCCCGTGCACAGAGCGGGCCCTCACCCCCACCCTCCCATGGGATCCAGTGTCCATGAGGACTCTGGTCTGTCCTGGCGCTGATGTCAGCTCTCCCAGTCATGACCTTCCTGCAGAGTCTGTGGCCCCTCAAAGCTTCGGAAACCTGGGATCTATCACCCCAATTTTCCAACTGCAGAGGATGACTTTGAAGATACGTTGTCATTGGCTTTGCAATTCCTTCCGCTGAGTAATCGGGGAATTTATTGTTGCTCCCATAGTAAGATTTCAGGTATTTTTATGAAGCGGTGTGTAAAACACAAGTCATAATAAAAGTGACCCCCACCCCAATCATGGTTTAGGCCCCACCTTTCCCCTTGAAAACAAGATGTGACTCAGCCCGAGGCCATTTAAGAGGGTCCAGAGACCCCTGGCTGACGTCTCGTCAGGAAATAATGAAAAGCCAGCTCTGTATCAGCAAACCCTGATGACAGTATAGCCCCCAGGGTTCAGTTGCCACTAGGATGCTACCTCCAGTTAGCCAGACAGATGCTGCGAGGGTCTGTGCCGCCGTCAGAGACCCCTGAGCTGGAAAACCCTGGTGGAAGAGAACATGCTATTAAAAGCTAGACTCAGTGTTGGGCAGCTTCTACATTGTTGTTCTAAGAAATGTCACTTGCACGGGGTAGTCAAGCAACGCAAATAGAAAAGAAAGCGTGAAATAACTCTGAACTTGCCTGGGAGGAATACCCACGGTTCGGGGCCCCTAGAGGTGTTATCTTAGTCCTGGTAGAGATTTTGGAGGGAGGTTGGTTCTACTGAATTTTATTTCAGTCAGAACATATTAACATAATCATGATACAGACTGACAAAGTTATGAATGAGAAAGTTTAACTTTTTGTATTTAAAGAGGAATGAAGGAATAAACATTTGAAGGGAACAAGCTCATGGGGTCATCTACTGAATATGTCACAGTGCATAGTAATGACAAGCCTGTTGGTGAAGGGCAGTGTGTGGAGCTGCTCCCTGGCATAAGGACCGTCCTTGTGTCTTAGTGTGGTCACCTCGGGGACTTTGGCTCCTGGGGGAGAAGCTGCGTCCTGTTGGAAACTGGCCAGGGATGATTCTAGACCTGCCTGAGCTGCAAATCCCGGTGGAGGCTGGTGCTCCATCTGGACTCGATGGCCCCACTGCTGCTTAATGCTGCAGCTTCGGGAGCGGGTTGGAACAGCTCATCTCCCGTGGCGCACTGCGTCTCCACCTGAGGCCACTCACGGGGGTCACGTGGCCAGCCTTGGAGCCAGGACCTGGTTGGGGAGGGAACAGCTTGGCCTCTTGGCAGCCTGGGCTTTCTGCAGTGTCTTCAAAGGAGAGGAAAAATGTTGAGTCTCCTGCCCTTCCCAGCCCACTTCCTTTTCTCTCTCTGGAGAGGAGGGCACCCCTCTGTCCCCACCTCTCTCTGCCTATGACACTCTCACCTCTGCTTCCAGAGTAGGACTGGACCTCCTCATCAGGCTCCTGCCTTCCTGCTCCCTCCCTTTAGTTTGCTAAACTCCCTCCCTAGAGTTTGCTCTAGTAAACAGCAGCTCTGTCATGCCTTTACTCTAAGACCTTCAGTGGCTCCCCATTACTCACAGATTAAATCTCTGAGTCCGCAGGGTTCTCCCCAGCCCAATTCCAACCACTTTCTGAATCTCATTTCTCACTCTTCCCATTTACACAATCACTCTTCTCATTTACACACTCTTTCTTCAACCCACACAATCACTTAGCATTCCCCATGCATGCCCAGTGCTTGCCCCCCTCTGAGCAGCCTGGAGTGTCCTTCCCTCCTTTGAGATCCAGTTGCCTGTCGCTACTTCAAGTCTCCCCTGTGCTCTGCACTTCTCTCTGCCCCGCCAACTGGCACCTTGCCCTCTCTGACCCTGGGCGCTTCATTTCTCTCTGATAAGGCAAGTATTTGTGTATTCGTTTATGCCTAACTTGTTTGAAAAAGGATTCAACCCAGCTATATATCTGCTGTTGAGTGCTTGCAAATTAAAAAACCAAAAAAGAAAAACTACATTACCTACCAGATCATGAGTTATTTGAAGGCAGAAACGTAAGTTCATGTCTGTGTCACTAGTACCCAGCACACAGTAGTAGATGCTCAGTAAACACTGAATGAAGGATAAAGGCAGAGCTTGTTATCAAGCAAGACCTTGGCACTTGTCCATTTTGTTTTTCTTTTTAACTAAAGTTGTGTCTCTGGTCACTACTCAATCAGCTGGACCAGCGTGCGTCTGAGCACCCACATCACTGACACTCATGCATACAGTAGGTACTCAAATCCATGCTGCTTGAACTGGGAGAAGGCCCTATAACCTCTGCCTTCCCTTGGTGGCAGGCGATGGGAGGGAGGTGACCCTGGTGTGTCCAACCAGAAGACTCCGACCACCATCTTGTTGACTCCCGAGAGGAAGTTCCACAGCTTCGGGTATGCCGCCAGGGACTTCTACCACGACCTGGATCCCAACGAGGCCAAGCAGTGGCTGTACCTGGAGAAGTTCAAGATGAAGCTGCACACCACTGGGGTGAGTGAGCCTCTGCCCTGGCCCCAAGTCCTCCGCATTGCAGAGCCAGGGTTCCCCCAGCCTTGGGTGGGGAGGAGTGTCTTTCCAACGCAAGGGGCCCTCAGATTTCTCCCAAGCAGAAATTAATTCCATTTACCTTGATTTTAGAAACAACCTGGATGGAGCACACAACACTTTTTTGGACTATGCACTGCTTTCCGATGTACATGTGAGCAGGGAGATAGACATTCAGAATATTTAACGACTTGTTTGTCTTGGAAACCGACCAGTCAGAGTGGGCCCTCACTGAAGCAGGGGCGTAGGGTGCTGGGGGCCCTCTGCCACGCCAGGAGTTCCTGCTTCAGTTGCTAGGTTGTTGGGAGATCCAGAGATCCTGAAGGAGCCACGTGGGGGCTGAGGGCATTTGGGGGGCTCAGGGCAGTGGCTATTAACTAACCACTTTGGAAGTAACAGCCGTCGGGAGGGGGAGCTCAGGACATCAAGTGCCCAATAAGAGGAGGTCCAGCTCCCGGAGTGGTGGCCTCAGTTCTGCTCCCAGCAAGCCGGCGTTGCGTAACATGTCTCGTAAGTCAAAGAGGTATCCCCCACCCTGAAGCTTCAGAGAAAAGGTTGGGGAATAGGATAGAATTTTTTCAATGTAAGCATCTTATCCCATAAATTTTCCTTAATTCTCAGTACTTAGAAAGGCAGGATGGTGATAACATTTAAGACCACAGACTCTGAAGCCAGATGGTTAGTCCAAGTTACTTAACCTCTCTGTGACTTGCTTTATCATCTCTGTAAAAGGGAGACAATGACAGTGCCTTCCTCATTGGGATACTGAGGGTTAAAGGAATCAAAATACATAAAAGTCTCAGAGCCATGCCTGGTGCATAGTAAGTTCTGGTCAAGCTCTAGCTCCTATTATAATTGCTGTCATTTGTCTGCTAAGTGTTTGCAGATGACAAAACACATTAATGGGAAACTCAGCGTCCAGCGCCCTGCCTTCCAAGGCTCTGTCTATTGCTGTGGTTGTCTTTCTATGACACAGGGGACAACCTCTGGGGGACGTGGACTGTTCCCATGTCACCTGACTGGATTCAATGCTAAAGATCAGGATTGTACATGGAAGCATGGATTTTTTTCAATTTAAGTTTTTAAATTCACTGCCATGGCTTCCTGGCGCTTGGTCACCTGTCCAAGCCTGGGAGCCGCTGCCCCAGAGCTGAGGTGTCTTTGCTGAGCACCGGCAGTAGGAGGTTGCTGGCTGGGAGGGGTGAGCAAGCGCAGTTAGGTCAGGATGCCACCCACAGACTCCACATGGCCGGGTTAGTGACTCAACCTCCCTTTTCCCTCCAAAGGCAAAGCATAATTACCCAGCCTGAATCAATCTGGAGGCCACGCTGATTTTTTTTTCCTTGGCAGTAAGAGCTTGTGGTTCCGAGAGACTCGGGGGCTTCCTTCTGACTTTTGCTCTCTGCCCATCCGTACCCCTACCCCACAGGGACTTTTCTTATCACTTTTTAATGACTTCTGTCCACCCAGCCTCTGGGCTCTACAGAGCATCCTCTGCCGAAGGACCACACTGAGCATCTGCTTTAGCTTCTGGCAGAGGAAGGAAGGCAGCGATGCTGGGCTCCCAGTGGATTAGACAGGGCAGGCCTTAAAATAGGAGCTCTTCTATTTTGGTGAGTTGGTTGGCAGCTTATCAGGGAGTGAAAGCTTCATGTCTGTTTAGCATCATGCCTGGCGGTGAGCTGGCAGAATCTAGGCCTCCACCAGGGGGGCTCCTGAGTGTGACCATGTGTGTCCAAATGTGGAAATAGCATGTAAATCACATTGGGAGTGGTGCCCGCTGCCTGTTTTCTCTTCCTGACCTGTGCTGCCCCGACACCTTTGCTCACAGAAGATCCAGAAGAGAGAGGGGAGGGAAGGAGGGAGCAGTAAAGATGGGGCCTGCGGGGAACAGCCAGAGCCTCCTACACAGTAAGGGGACAGTGCTGCCAGGCCCCCTTCTGGGACACACTCCATCCTAGCCTGCCTCCTCAAACACGGGGAGACACAGACATGGCTCACTGATTCTCCAGATCTCCAAGTAACAGTCCCCAGAGTCAGAAGACACGTTTCTCCTGTGTCGCCATCTTACTGTTTTGTTCCTCTTCCCCCTGCCAGGACCTCACCATGGATACAGACCTGACGGCAGCAAACGGCAAGAAAGTCAAAGCCCTTGAAATCTTTGCTTATGCCCTGCAGTACTTTAAGGAGCAGGCGCTGAAGGTAGGACCGATGACAGAGGCCAGGCAGCCACGTGCTAGGCGGTGGCACTGGTGCCAGCTCCATCCCTGGGGTGGCTGCACCTGCCGGTGACAGTGGGAGGGGCAGCCTCGATGGGGAGAGCGTGGGCTTGCCGTCAGAACGGCAGGATGGGCCCTCACGCGCTGCTGGTGGGGATGTAAGACGGTGTAGCTACTTTGGAAAACAGTATGGCAACTTCTCAAAAAGTTAAGCATAGAGTTACTGTATAACCCAGTAATTCTGCTGCTAGGTATATACCCTGATGAAATGAAAACACGTCTACACAAACACATGCAGTGTGCATAGCAACGTTATTCATAATGACTAAAAAGTGGAAACAACCCACATGCCTATCCACATATGAATGGATAAACAAAACCTGGTCTGTCCATACAGAGGAATCTTCATTATTCAGCTACAAGGAAGGGAATACTGATGCATACCACCATGTGGCTAAACCGTGAAGATGCCACGTGAAGGGAAGAAGCCAGACATAACAAGCTACATTTTGTACGGTTCCATTTGTGTGAAATGTCCAGAACAGGCAAACCCCTAGAGACAGAAAGCAGGGCAGCGGCGGCCAGGGACTGTGGGGAGTGAGGATGAGAGGTGGCTGCTGACAGGTGTGGGTTTCTTTTGGGGGTGAAGAAATTAGACGGTGGGGTTGGTCGTACAACCTTGTGAATATACTAAAACCCACTGAACTGTACATTTTAAAGGGTGAATTTGATGGTATATGAATTATATCACTGTAAAAAAACCAAAAAACCAGGAAACATACTTCACAGCTGTACAATCTCGGGCAAGGTACTTAATCTCTGCCATTTCCACTTTCCTGCCCTGAAGAGTGGGGCTGGTAACCGCGCCTTGTGGGTCCTTGGCTGTTAGGTGAAATATTGGGCACGCAGTGCCTCCCTCACCAGACAAACACTCGGGAAATGGCGGCTGCGGTTTCTCCTCCTCCTCCTCCTCTGTGCCCCACCGGACCCCGGGGGAGAGGCTGGTAGCGGGAGCCCCCTTGGAAGGTCCTTGCAAAGGTTTGTGATCAGGACCGTCCACAGTGCCGAAAACTGCTGATTCCAAAGTGGGATCCGCTGTCCACTCAGTGCTGCCGCCCACAGGCATGGCGACGAGTAGGTGGGAATCAGGTGACGTACCGAGCTCTATCCAGGAAGAACTGGGAACTTCAGAAGCATTTGGTATATGTGATTGCTAGGAGGAATGTAGTGAATTCTAGAAATAGAGCCAGACTACTTTTGTCCATTCGAGTAGCTTTTTTTGTTTTTTTTGAGTACCTTTTATGTGCCAGTCGTAAACGAATATGACAGTGTAGAAATCAACTCGGTATACAGGAGTGCGTGGTCAGGGTCTGGGTGAGGGGACTGTGGGTGTTGGTGGAGGCAGAGATTCTGCCCAGTGGGGCACATCAGGGAAGGCTCCCTGGAGGAGGCAGGTGGTATGGGGGATCCACAGGCAGCAGCTAGAAGGGCGGGTATTTCAAGCTGGTGGAATGGCACCAAGATCAGTTCGAGGGAAAGAATGCACAGCAAACAGCTGTGGGAAGAAAGCAATGTGGGTGGAAGGAGGGCAAGCTGGGGATAGAGCCAGAACACCAAGCTCGGGACAAGATCATGCAGAGCCATGGATGCCAAGCTAAGGCCCTTCTTGGGGAATGGGAGCCGTCAAAGGATTTCTAGCAGGGGAATGACGTGGCTACTTGGGTAGTATTAGTGTCATAGTCTGTGCTGCTGTAATAGAATGCCACAGCCTGGGTAATTTATAAAGAACAGAAATGTATGTCTCACAGTTCTGGAGGCTGGGAAGTCCACGATCAAGGTGCCGGCAGGTTTGGTGTCTGTCGAGGGCCTGGTCTTTGCTCCCGAGATGGAGCCTTGAACGCTGCATCCTCCGAGGAGGTGGGGGAGGAGCACTGGTCCTCACATGGGAGGGGGACGAAAGAGAGCGAGCTCACTCCCGTCAGCCCTTTTTAGAGCAGCATCAATCCGTTTACGAAGGCAGAGCGCTCATGACCTAAACACCTCCCGTCACTGTTGCACAGGGGAGCGTTGCCGACACCTGAATTCAGACCGCAGCATAGAGCAGGAGACCCCAGAGGTCCCAAGAGCCTGCAGGGTCGGGGAGAGCCACGTGGAGCCACCCGACTCAGATCCTGAGGGTGTGTCTAAAGGGCGAGAGGGAGGCTCTGAGACTCGGAGCACCAGGGGTCATTCGGGGAACATGACGGAGGATCACGACTGCCAAGGAGAAAGAGTGGCTGGGCGGGAAGAAGTGGGTTCTGGAAAGCATCACGCCCCACAGGGGGGAACGGGAGGGTCCTGGGGGCAGAGCAGGGGCTGGCGGTGTTCAGGAGGACGGCGGCAGCCCAAGGCAGGAGCACTGCGAGGCCCACTGGGCGCGGGGAGGGCTGGGCCCCGTCGTGCCAGGCACTGGAGAAGCAGAAGCGGAGCAGCGCGCTGAAGTGGACCTACGTCAGCCGAGGACCGAAATCAAATGTCACAGGGGGACGGGGCCAGCGCCTGGTGGCCCAGGAGGCCACGTGAGTGTGTGGAGGAGCCATGGGCACTCCATTGAGGACTTGAGGAAGTCCGCGGCATTGGCGTGTGTTTCGAGTTTGCCAGCAGGAAAGGAGCGAGCAGCCGTCTCAGCAGGGGAGGAAGCGGGTGGCGGGAGCGACCCCAGAAGGTCAAGCAGAGGCACGGGTGGTTGTTTGTAAACTCAGCCAGAGAGGCTGCAGGGAACCTGCTAGCACCTTCCAGCTCCTCCCAGCAGGGCACATGCCGGGAATAAATTCCAGGAGAAAGAGCTGTTCGAGGTGACGGATGGGAGCCAGCCCTTCACAGGATGCTGGCTGGTATTCGAGGGGCCGGTGGGTTCGGAGGGCGGACGTCATTGCGCGTTTGACCAGAGTAAGCGCAGGCAGAACGTCCACTCAAGTGCAGCGTCTGAGCAGTCCCAGAAATGAAGCGGCCCAGTCCTTCATGACGGACAGTCAGGGAAAGTGCCCGACTCCTGGGACAGATAGCTAATGTCAGTGCCTTTCCCTTCCAAGCTGGTCCCTACACACCGGGGGACAGACAGCTTCTCCAGACCCTCTAGACAGCCCAGGGAAGCCTGTCATTTGTGTTTTGAGCCTTGTTTCCTTTTAAAGAATTTAAAATCGGTTGCCTGGTAATCGGCATTGTGCTTAGAAACCTTCCCTTCACCCCACTCACCTGCGCTAGAAAGCCCAGGTGACAGAGGGTAGTATGACAAAAATGGCGGCTTGATGTTGACCCAAAGCGGAGGCGTTTTTTTAAAACATGGTTAAAAGAAGTTTACTGAATGTACTTAACACTACTGAACTGTACACTTAAAAACAAATAAGGTGGTAAATTGTACGGTACGTGGATATTTACCACTAAATAAAATTTTTATTAAAAATTTAAATTTTTTTAAAAGGCAAAAAAAAAAAAAAGCAAGGTTTACTGATCAAAGAGGAAGTTAGTTCAGTGACAGGGCACGCCAGACCCAAGATAACTATTTGAAATAATAGGAAAAAGGAGACACCACCAGGAAAAACATTTTTTTTTTTTTATCGGCTTATTAATCTTCTTGTGTCCCCAGAGTTGACTTTGACGGAGACATGCCTTAGTGTGGGTGTAGGTTTGATTTCCGATTTGTCTGGTAAGTGTGGCAATAAGAGGGGAAAGAAAGGAAGGAACTAGAATTTATCAGAGGTCTTTGGGCCAGACATTCCTTGTGCGTTTTCATTTAATCTTGCCAATAATGCTAGTTTTATTGTTCCCATTTTACAGATGGGAATACTGAGTCTGAGAACTATTCCAGCTACATATTTTGTCTACAGGGACCCAGTAGAAACCTCTGATGCTTCTGCCCATCCCATTTGTCCACATGGGCCCTACCGATGTGGTTTAACCTTAACCAAAAGTTAAGGGCAGCATGGTTCCTGGTTAGGTCATGTCCATATCCTTCCCTTCCTATCAGGAAAACCCCCCTGATATGCTGGGCTTGCATAAGGTAGATGACTGTGACAACAACTGCGGTGACAATTGTCACCAGTTGTTAAGCATTACTGCGGGCCAGGCACTGTTCTAGATACAAGACCACAGGTAACAGTTTAGTTAGGACTTTGGCCTTTAGAGTCAAGATAGACCTGGGTGTGGGTTTAAATTTTGGCTCCGCCACTCTCTAGCTGCATAGTGTTCAAAAAGCTCTCAGTCTCAGTATTCCCATCTGTAGAAAATGGGCACGATTACGATCCCTTTCTAACAGCATTCTTCAATGGGTTCATAGAGATAAGGTAAGCAAAGTGCTTAATACAGTGGTTGACACATAAGCGCTCAGTAAATGCAGCTGTCAGGAAATTATCAACTCTCTCAACAACTTCATGAGCCAGGTATTATTATCCCCATCATACAGATATGGAAACTGAGGCCTGAGATGTCATCGCGTGTTCAAAGTCACGTGAGTAGGAAGTGGCCAAAGGGATTTTCCTTTGATCTGCCTCTCTCCCGCCCACGGTTAGTCAGCAAGTGAAAGGAGCTAGAGCTCCCTGCTTGCTAAATTTTCAGAAAACAGATTCTTGCTCCCTGACGCTGGTAGGTTCAGGAGGCTGTGGAATAGACACCCAAGGAGCTTGCGGCGGGAGGCCTGGATTCTTGGCGAAGCCACAGGAGGCAGGCCCTCAGGGACTGGCAGTGCCACTTAACCTGTGTGTTTATTTTCTTTGGCTTCAGGAGCTGAGTGACCAGGCAGGTTCGGAGTTCGAGAACTCTGATGTCAGATGGGTGATCACGGTGCCTGCCATCTGGAAACAGCCCGCCAAGCAGTTCATGAGACAAGCTGCCTACCAGGTGAGGGCAGGGGTTGGGACGGGCGTGGGTCAGAGGAGAAGGACACTCTCGGTGGGGACTGAGCCCGGCTCAGGTACCTCCCAGCATTCACAGGCCTCCTCAGGAGGCAGCGAGGAGGGGCTGGGGGCCAAGGAGCCTTCTCATCCCTCAGCTTCCTCCTGGGGGAGAAACAGGGCTTAGTCCAGCAAATGACAGGAGTTGGGCTCGGTTTTCTTCCTGGCTTTGTACACTTCCAGGTCATGTTTCCACTGTGGATTCTCTGGGGCTAGGATTTCCAGGCGGGGTTCAGAAGCATTTCTCCATGGGTGAATGGAAGTGAGAACCTTGAGGAAAAGGCTTGGGAAACGTGAAGATTTGAATAAGAAAGGGATATAGACAAGGCCATTGGCCGTGAACCAGCATTTCAGCTTGGCGTGGAGGCTGAAAACGGCGTATCTGCAGCTGGGAAATAAAGGAAATATGATTGTCTTCTGCACGCTTTACTCAGAGGGATGCCTAGGGCACCCAGAGAGGGGGTGAGGGCTGCCAGCCCTGCGTGGTGGGTGGCAGACCCCTGCGAGGGCAGTGGCATGGCCAAGCGGTGTGCCAGGCACAGGCACACGTCAGCCAGGGACGTGGTTGCTTCAGGGCTGATGGCCAGCCTGTCCCCATGGGCACCGCGGGCGCCACTGGTGCCACACACCCTCACGGCCTCCAGCTCTCACACGCTGTTTGCAGACCACTTGTGCCATCACGGGCTTCCAGAAAGGCCTGACTTCGAGGCAGGAAGGGCTGGCCGTGCTCACTGCTGTTCTGGTCCCCGGGCCAGAGCTGGCTCCTGTTGTACTTAAACTCCTGGGTTTATGAAAACCCACCCTTGGGGCCTGGGTCCTCCCTCTGCGTGGAGAGTCAGTTTTCTGAGTTTTCAACTGAGGCTGGGCTGTGGCAAGTCACCAAGGAAATAGATGTCCCCTTGCCCCTGTCACCCCTCTCAGGAGGTGTCCTGTCCACCTTTCCGAGGGACACAGCTCCGATGTTGAGTGTGGGGTTACGTGTGTGAGCCTTTCTTTACCAAACACCCACAGAACCAGTGTTGAGCTCCAGAGTGTAGCAAAAGGGCCACGAGAACCTTCGTGCCGTGAATCGTATTCCGCGCTCACTCGGGCCTGACTCCCAGCCACCCGCAGAGTCAGCGTGCACACGGTCAAGGCACACGGTCAAGGCGGGGCGTCCCCTCCCCTCCTTCTCCCCTTCCCCGGGCTGTTCCCCTGCTCTCCCCTTCCTCTGCGCAGCGTGAGAATCCGGCTCAGTGGATGTATCTGCCAAAAATAGATTTGTTTTTGTGGGGACGAAGGAAGAGGGTGGAAGTTCCAGAAAGAGGCGAGTTCTTTTAAAAAGAAAGGAAAGAAAATGCAGTGTAGCTGTTCACAGAAGCCCTGGGCATCACGGAGCTTTTCCGTAGCGTCAGCCTTCAGGCCGTGTCCACAGACGGGACGTTGGGACAGGGCCGTCCGGGCGACGCTGCCCAGCGTTCGGCGTGTTTCCCGGGAAGGATATTCAAGGTTCGTGGTTTGGACTCTCCTTTCCCCGCCCACAGGAAGACCTCGGCAACACATGTGTGACCCCTAGAAGGGTCAATTCTTATTTTTAGCCTGGAAAGGAAAGAGGTGCAGAGACTAGTAAATTTGTCAGGGCTGTTGGAGCCCTGGGCTAGGCTGGCTCTTCCAAGGACTGTCTCTTTGACTCAGTGGGACAGGAGGGGTGGGTCCCTCACACTAGGCAGTCTGAGGAGGGAACCAGGCCGAGGAGGGCATGGCATCCCCGAGGGTTTGGTAGAATCAAAATAGCACCTCAGAGAGAAAAGGGCCCACAGCTCCTGGGCAGGGACAGATGTGACCAGCGTTGATGGACATGGGGAATTTGCCTTCCGAAGCCCACAGACAACACTGCAGACAGGCACTGTCTTCTTCACGCGGGATAACTTGGGTACAGTGTTTCTGCAGCTTAACTTTCGACCCTTTGTAATTCTGATTTGCACTTGTATTCCGTTAATAGTCACTGAGTGGATTTAAAGATGGCAGCAACCATTCGGTGATCCTTTGCTCATGAATTCATTCATTCATTAAACAAACCTATATTGGTGGCCTTCTGTGTGCCAGGACTGTGGTGGGCCATGGGTTCTACACCTGACCAAGGCAGGACCCTGCTCTCAGGCGGCTCACAGCCAAGCGAGTGGTTCATTGAAGACTTTCATACTTCTGGGTTAGGGACAGGGGTGTATTAGTGGCTTTGCAGATTTTTCTGCAGTCTCTTCAGCCTGTTTTCTGGAAGAGTCCTAGGACAGAGTTGAAATGAAGCTTGTTACTCTGTGGCCCAAATTAGCATCTCTTCGCTCTCCCTCCCTAGCCCTCATTATTACACCGAATAAAAAAGATACGTACCTGTGATGGTTAACTTTACATGTCAACTTAACTGGGCCATGGGGCACCCAGATATTTGGTCAAACATTATTCTGGGTGTTCCCGTGAGGGTGTTTTTGGATGAGTTGAACATTTAAGTAGATTGAGTACAGCAGATTGCTCTCCCTGATGAGGGTGGGCCTGAACCCATCAGTTGAAGGCCCGAATAGAGCAAAAGGCTGATCTTCCCCTGAAAAAGAGGGAATTCTCCCTATAGACTGCCTTTGAGATGGCAGATTGTTTTTTCTTTTCCCTGCCTTCAGACTCAAACTCAAACATTGAGTCTCCAGCCTGCTGGCCTTTGGACAAGAACTGTACTATCGGGTCTCCTGGGTCTCCAGCCTGCTGATGGCAGGTCTTGGGATTTGTCAGCCTCCATAACTGCATTAGTCAAATCCTTGTAATGATAGAGAGAGAGAGAGAGAGAGAAAGTGAGTAAAAGGCGTTTGATCAGGTGGATATTTGTTTGCTTCTACAAGGTGGTGGCTGACCCCCAACCCTGCTACCCAAAGTGCGTCCCACTGGCTGACTTCAGGCAGAAGAGCCGGAAGAATGAGGTACAAGGGGTAGTCCTACCTCATCAGGGCAGTTGGGAAACTGGTCGCATCCGCTCTGCTTGCACAGGAAAAACAGAGCCCTCCTTCCAGGCTTATCAGAGGCCTCCTGAGCACAAGTTTGTGGCATAGTCACGTGGGGGCCGAGCTCCAACCTCCCACCTGCCAGGGAGAGGTGAAAGAGGCCTGGAAGCAGGGCTGGGCGCTGATGCTCTGGGCAGCATCTTCTGTCGTGAGGAGCAGGTCTGGAGTTCTGGGGCCTCGGCTCAGACAGTCTATGACTCGCTGCCCACGAGGGCTGCAACTCAGGGTACACAGAGAGTTTCCCCTGTGAAACTCCCCAAACTCATCTGTGTCAAGTGCTTGTTGAAGAAAGGGGTTAAATCTCTATCTTTTACAATTCACAGACTCAGGGCACCTTCAGGCCCTTTAAGAGCATTCAATGGAAAGATGGTAGCAGAAAGAACACCTGATCCTTCTTCTGAGGGCTTTAGAGAAGTCCTAGCACCAGGAGATAGTTTCACTGAGTCTGGGGGGGATTGTGGGTAGGACATAGTCCAGTTTATTTCTGAAGGCATTTTGCCTAAAATGTGCAACTCTAGTAGGTTCCAGAAACCTGTTAAATCAATGATGCTCCCATATGTACGATGATCTCATCTCACATGGAGACGCAGCTTGCATTTGCCTCCCTTTCCGAACAAGCGGCAGTGAAAAATGATCACCAGGAAACGCTGCACAACCCCAGAAGTGGTGCAGCTGCGGCCCCTTTGCAGCCTGACGCCCGGCCAGCAGAGCACTTAACTGGCCCGGCCATTTGTTCTCGGCTGTGGACACAGTCCCTTGGCAGATTTTCCTGGCTGGCTGCAGGGCTGAGGAGCAGAGCAGTCGGGTAAACACCACTTCCTCACTTCCTCAGGCTCCTGGGAGTGCGGTTTTCTCACCTGCTTCTCCTGAGTGGAGCTGCGATCACAGAGGAAGGCTCCAAAGAGCTACTAGAAGGTTCTCCTGCTGCTCTGATTCGTGTGTGTGTGTGGGGGGGGCGGTCACATGGGATAGCGTGCTCTTGGTTCAGACACTTTCTCTTTGTAGAATCCCCAGGCCACGTCTGTGGAATGCTTGCGTTCAGTGCAGCAGGGACGCAGGCCAGGAAACTGCAGGATAAGGCCGGCCGGAGGAACGCTGGGCTCCTTCGCTCCGCAGCCATCTCCCAAGCACCTCCCAAGCACCTCCTAAGCACCTCCTACGAGCTAGGGGCAAGGAGGCCTGACGGCTGCCCCTAGAAACATACCGTCTTGCAGGAGAGGACGCACATGTCTGCACTCTCTGTAAAGCTGGAGACAGAAAGAACATGTTAGGTGCTTGGCAGGGGCCCCCATGGAGAGAGAGCTCACATCGGAATAGGAGCTGTGAGGTGCCAGCTCCGAAGGCAGAAATAGCAAAGGCGGAGAGAATGTTCTTCTGCTCCAGTTGCCTCTGGCCTGATCCCAGGCAAATGGCCCCACAGGTCTCCTGAGGGCTGCCAGGCAGAGGGCTCCTGTTGAGGGTGACCGCAAGTGTTGATGCAGAAGCAAAGGCTGCACTTCCGGGCACCGGGTCTTCCAGCCACGGGATAGAGACATCTGGGTTTTGGGAGTCTGGGCCACTCGTTAGCATTTCCTCCTTTTCTTGGAGTCCACAGCAGCTCTGGGACTTCTCTTGGGAGGTCACTCTGCTCTGGGCTCCGTGGGAGTTTCCTGGTGGGACACAGCCCTGCACTCTCGCTGGGGAGTGTGACCGGGCTGGTCCAAGCACAGGAGTGTGTTTGTCCTGGGCCTCCCAGACACTGCCCAGGCCCCTCTCTGACCTTGCCTTCTCCTCCTCTCTGGAGTGGGGCCCTCCTCACCCCCACTCCTCACTTGCATCCTCTCCTGGGACAGTGGGCAACCCCCTGTGGAAATTAGAAACAGTAAAGCTTTTGCTTCAGGCCAGGCCAGGCCAGCTGGGGAGGGACAGATGACAGGCTCCCCTGAGGGCGACAGCCCAAGCTGTCTGGGGCAGACTCTGGTCAGCTTGAGTGTCTCTTACGCAGCCGGCTCAGGATGTGGGAGCGCCAGGAGGGGTGTGCGTGTATGTGCGTGCGTGTGTGTGTGTGTGTGTGTGTGTGTGTGTGTGAGTGAGTGACTGTCTTGCTAGATTGGCAGTCACATACCAGGCGCTTGGACACCGTCGAGTCACAGAATTTTACTCAAGGCTCTCCACTCCCCTGGACTTCTTGAGTGGATTTTCCATGTAAATATTTCCCATGTACATCAGAGTTCCTGCTCAGAGCTTCACGGAAGGTGTGGGTAGAGGAGCGATGGAGCTTGTTTGCCTCGGCCCAGGCCCGTGGCCCTCCCGTTGGCCACGTGGGGGCCTTGCTGCAGCTGCCCTTCCAATGGAACATGATCACAGTGACGTGGCTTCTGAATCTCAGAGCCTTTGCCTTTCTTCCTTCACACCCACGCCCTGGGCTCCACTCTCAGGCTCACCCTCCCCCCAAGTTTATTTTCTAGTTTGAACTTCGGAAGAGAATCTTCTACACATAGGCCAGGCTGCCGCTTTGTAGCGAGTTGTTCCTTCTTCCTTGCCCCATCCGTGGAAGTCCACCCTGTTAGCTTCTGTTCTTCCATGGGGCCCTTGACCCTACAAACTTACGGGGATAGAAAAGTGAACACACAAGCTGTCCTGTAGAAGGGGCTCCTCTTGGTCGTATTTTGGATTTCTTCTGGGACCCTCGGGATTAAGGCTCAGAGGTTCCAGCATTCCTGGTGCTGCACGTGTATGACCCACGGCCTCTTTCACTTTAACCTTGAGCCATCTTCATGCTAAGGGTGTCTAATGTGACCCTGTGAAAAAGCGAAGCTGAGGAGGGCGATTTTTACCCACTGAGTACAGAGCAGCGGGAAATCTTTTCATGCATCTGAGTTCGTGGCCTAAGGGCAGACCCAGCCTGTTCAGCCCAGGGACTGAGATGATGGGCACAGACGCTGCCCACGGGGTTGGCCGTAGCCGAGGGTACTAGGCGGTAGGACAAGGGGCTTACCATAGATGGTGCCGGACACAGTGTGGCTCTCATCTTGTTTTAAAAAGTCTGTCTTCCCAAAATGCTTGCACCATTTGTGAGGCATTTGGTATTTACAAAGTGAAGATTTTCAGTCACCTGCCTTCTGGTAGCATCTCATTAAGACATAAATTAATTGGCTTTATTTTGGGTGTGGTCACTATGGAGAACTGACAGTGCATTCAGGCAGCGCATCATTTGATACCGTCCCTGAGTAAATGGGTAGAGGGATCGTCCCTTTAAACAAGTTATGCAGAAAGCATCACAGGCACTGGGGATTCTGCCAAAGTACAGAGGCCTGGGCCCAGCCCCAGCAACCGGAGTTGCTAAGAGCAGGAGAGCTGGGCGTGAATGACAGAGTGCTGCTCTGCAAGGCTCGGGACCTGAGCTCTGCCAGCTTAGGGGTTCGGTACCTTGAGCGAGACCGTGCTGGTGTTGGCACTGGATGGCTCACCTCCCAGGAAATCCCTCTATCCTGGGCAAACCGGGACAGTGGGTCACCCTACCTCTCTGGGCCTTGGTGTCTTCCTACATAAAGTGAAGGAGTTGGACAAAGGGCCCTGAGGGTCCTTTCCATTCCTAATATCCCAACCTGAATCCCCCTCCCCTCCTTGCCCAATGATCGGACCTCCTAAGCCCCTCTGCCTAGGACTCTAGGCTGGCTCCTTCAGTGAGAAGTGTGTGTGTGACATTAGGAGACCTTCCGTGCCTGCTGTACAGGAAGAATCACTGAACCTCAAGGGTCTGGTATAGAATTGGGTGAGGGCGCTCCTCCAAAGGAAGGGGCACGAAGGCAGCATCCCAAGATTCCCTAAGAAGTGGCAAAAAAGGCAGCAAGCACAGAGGTGGCAGGGAAGAAGTGTGCTTCTGTCTTCTCTTGTGCTGGCGACCAAGGAAACCCCATGCACCTGAGTAACTCCCAGAAACAAGTGAGACATGAAACCTCCTGCTCCAGCTCAAGGGCATGGGAGGAGGGCAGGGCTTGGTTAGGAGTCAAGCGAGGCTTGTTTCTCTGAGCATCCTCAGAAGGTGGTCGCGGGGCCTCCTGGGCTGGCCCTTCTTCAGGCCCAGAGGGGCTGTGCCCGGGGCACATCACATATCACAGAGCGTTCTGCCTGCTGCAGGTCGAGGTCCTGAATGTTTGCAGATGGAGGCCAGGCACTTGGGGACTGGATTATTAAAGGGATGTTTGTTATTATATGTGATAGACATATATACCAGAAACTATTAAAGGGTAAAGGCTTTGAATAAGATACCTCCTGGCTGAATTTCAACCCGTACTCTCGAAAATAAGGGACTACATGGGATTCCAGGAATAGCTTCCTCCTGGAGTCACTGCTCATATGTCACCCCCAGCAGGCAGACAGCCCTCTTAGAGTTCTGGAGATAGCAGGTCAGATTCCCATACAGCAAAATCAAATGCTTGTATAGCTGAGCTCCAGCAGGTGCCCATTTGTTTCCAAGGCCATCAGAGATTGGTGTTGGCTCCGACTTGGTCAGACTGTGTGGCCCATTGTCACTGGGAACAGATCATCTGCCTTCCATCCTGTGATGGAAAGTTTTGGAGCCTTTGCAACTCTGTCCCTCCACCACTCAAGCGTTGAACCCCATCTGTACCCCACAGTCCATGTTCTTGCCCCCTCATGCCTCTCAGTTCTAGGCCAGGCAAGCCCCAAGTACAAGAGGCCCCAAGGCCAGAGAGCCTGGCATTTCCCAAGGGTGCTTATACGTTTTCTTTGGCCACCCTGAGATGTCTGGGTTCCTGGCTTGGGGCCCAGCACCCAAGAATCCCTGACGTCAAGTTCTGCAGAGGACTGTGTAGGGAATGTCCCACCAAAGCAGAACATGTGTGTGCCCCTCCTTAGGGGCAGTCCAGGCGTGGGAGTCCTTTCAGCGGGCCTGCCCAGGGAGCCCCGGGTCCCAGCCTCTGCTTCTGTCTTCCAGGCTGGCCTGGCCTCCCCGGAGAACTCGGACCAGCTCATCATTGCCTTGGAGCCCGAGGCGGCCTCCATCTACTGCCGGAAGCTGCGGCTGCACCAGATGATCGAGCTGAGTGGCAAGACGGCCGTCAATGGGTACAGCGGCAGGGACACAGTAGGAGCTGGGTTTGCACAGGGTACCTCTGCTCTCTCTCTCCGCTCCTGCTCCCTCCCCCACCTGACCCCTGGATGTTTCTCCACCTCTGATGATTTGAAAGGCACTTGGTGCTGTAAGGAAGAGTCAAGATACTCCAAGAGGAGGTTGGCTTTCAGCACCTCTGTGCTCAGCCCCCATACCTGGCCCCCCAGGGGACCCATAAACTAAGCAATGGTCACTCTGGTTCATCACCCACCAAGTACCTGGGGGTGGGGGGTAACGGCCTGCAGGAGACTTCTCTCCAAGGACCTGAGGGGGTAGCCTGAGAGCAGTTCTTGGCCTTGAATTTTACTAGGCTTTTAATCTTTCCTGTATATTAACTGATTCCTAATCTAATCCCATCCGCCTGTTATTAATTCCTCCATTAAGACTGTTGATTTATTGCTGACTCACTCATTGGGGCCACTTCGTGTGTGATGAGCTCATTATGTGTTTTAGCTGAGAGCTGAAAATGCAGATGAAACAGGCTGACTTCTCCTGACCCGGTGATGCTCATTTAGCTGTGGGAGGAGCAGCGCACAGGGAGACCCAGGATGGGGTGCTTAAGGAGCTTTTTCTCTCTAGTAGTTACCTGCATGCAAGTTGGTCACAGTCTTGGTCACAGAACTTGGTTCCCCAGTATCCAGGACTCTGTGGCTCTGTCCAGGGCTAGCTACAGGGTTTGCAGACACACTAGGTCAGGGTTAAAGCACCAAGGTGAGCATGGGCGTGGATGGGGCGTGCCGTCGGGGTGGTGCGGGGCACCCCAGCCCTGAGCGCTGTGCTCCGCATTCTGTTCCCAGGTGAAGGTCCTGAGGGTAAACACCCACCTGTCACCCGTGGCCCCCTGGAAGGTAGGCCTAGGAGGGGGAGAGGGAAGACATCAGTGAGGACTGTTGCTGAGTTGTCCCTGCCACAGCTTGTTCCCAAGTTTTCTTTGGTCCTCACACCCAGAGCCTGTCTCTGCACTGGCGAGGCACTGGGCCCAGGCTCACCCTGAGCAGATGTACGTTCTTGCCCAGAGGGTACTGGGCTGTCTCCTCCAGGCAGGTTTCTCCTCCTCCTTTTCGCAGGGGAAACTCTGCCCCAGAGGTCACACCTTTGCATTTTAATCATAAGATTTAGGAGTCTGCGAACCTTAGCCGCTAGGCAGTGGCAAGAGGTCCCCCTGTCACCTGGCCGCTGCCTCAGCCTGTCAGCAGCTGTGTGTTAGTGCCTTAGATCAGATGTACCTGGAATGAACGAAACGAGGTTTCCCTTGAAATCTGAGGACTTGATTAGCCCTTTTCTACCCATGCTCGTCCTCCCCAAGGCTAGCCTCACCGCTGATGGACAGGGGCATTGATGTTTTAAATACTCAGCATGATACTTATTTAAATTTCTGTCTTCATTGTTTTCATTGGGAAAAAGAGGAATGATTGGGTTTCTACCTTACATGCTGATTCTTAGTTGTTCATAAATAGAAGTTCATGTCAGAATCACCTAATTCTAGCATAGATCTCTGTAACTTTTTGCAAATATACCACTCACATTTGGAGGGGAGGGGGAATCTGTTTTCGAATGATTGCCTTCCCTGAGAGCTCAGTGTTTGGTTTCCTTTCCTGTGACATATCGTATCCGCCCCCACACTGCTCTGTGCCTGTGTCCTGTGGCTCGTGGAATTTGCTGCTGTCTCCGTGTGCTCAGAGGGTCTTTCTGGATTTTGAAATCCTCGAACTGTTGGCCACCATGCCTCTGAGGGGCAGAGAGGCAGGGGCTCTGGTGTCAGCCTCACTTTACAAAGAGAACATCTCTCCCATCAGGAGGTGGGGGCTGTCTGGGGCGAGCCTGGCAGAGCACGTAACCAGGAGTACCTGAGGTGGCTCTGATGCCCCTTTGTTATCAAGGCCCAGTGGACGCCACTGGGGAGCGACGGAGCTGGTGCCAGCACAAGTTTTGCTGTCAGTATTATTTTACTTCTAAAGGGTTGAATGAGATCAATAAAGGATACACTTTTCACAATCTTGGGCTTAATTTGCCTGAAAAATGGGCTCATTTGTTGAGAGCTCAGTACAGATTTTATTAGCCGCTCCTGGCCGTGTTTTATGAATGCCGTTTTGTTAGCCATCTAGATGGTTTTAGAAAACCAAATGCCCATTACAAGGTCTGTACCAAGTTCATCTGGTGCCAGTGCTGGGAACAGGAGAGAGGCCCAGAATTTGGGGGAGCCCGGCCAGGCCTGCAGGAACTCTTTAATCAGGGGACGCCTCCCTCTCCACTGTGAACCGGACCCTGAAGAACTCGGAGCTGGCTGGGTGTTTGTCCTTCCAATTCCCAGAGAAGAGTGTTTTGTAAACACTGCGTTCCTTGCTGAAAGAGGCTAGCAGGTCAAGGGTGCTTTACGGGATAATCAGCAACAGAGGGGTGTGTAGGGCAACTCAAAATCGGCAGCTCCAGCTTAGGGACTCAAAAACACATGGGAGCAAGGTGTGAGGTGGGGGGAGGTCAGCGGGGCAGCGACAGCAGGGCCTTCACCTGTAGCATCAGGGCTGCTCTGTTGCTTACAGTAGTCTCATCTGTCAGGCCTCACACTAGGCGCTTTGCCTGCGTTATCACCTACTGTGTGCTGGCTGTCACCCTGGGTGCCGAGGATACATTGGAGAACTAGTCCCTGCTCTGCCCGTGAGGAACTTAGGCCGACTGTTACTGTTCCATCTTATGGATGAGAAAACAGGCCCAGAGGAGTTAAGTGATTTGCCCAAACTCCCACCCGGGCTGTGCCCTGCTGCTCCCAGGTACCCCTTCACAGCACCTTTCTCATCTCTAAGCATCCCATAATTCTGCTCTGTCAGACTTCCCTGTGACCTGCTAAATCTCAGAGGCCTGAGGGTCTGTGGTCCAAGGGTTCATTTCAGGCTGTGAGACAAGAGTCGTGGGAACTGCAAGTTCCTTAACCTCGCCTGACCTGGTTTCCTCCTGAACAGAAGGACAATGATTTGTGCCCTGTCCGCCTCCCAGGCGTCCCAGCCACTTAGCCCCCGACGCCACGGCCGGAGCTGTGGCCGGGAGCAGAGGTTGTCCCTCCGTGTTCGTGCAAGAGGCGGGGTGGGCTTTGCAGGGTGCAGAGCTTGTGGCGGACGCGCCACCTTGTGGCGGACGTGCGTATCGGCCTCAACAGGGCCAGGAAATGGCCCCCAGTCCCTTATCCAGGATCCAGATTAGGAAAACATGCCCCACATTCCTTGAATCAGACAAGGCTCCTTGATGGGAAATTGTTAAACCGAGCGCACTGCAGGCAGCTTGGCAGATGGCTTCCTCCCTGGGGCAGCAAGACAGGGAAACCGGCCGATTTTATTAACCCGTTCCCCAAAAAATGTCACAGGAGGAAAGGACTCTCATCAGGGTGGGGTTTGCGGCGGGCACAGGCCGAAGCTGCCGAGCGGATAAATAGATGAAGGCCGCTAGAAGAAGCTACTTTTTCCCAGAAGAGCTGGCTCTGTGATTTCCTGACATTGTATTTATTTACTCATTTTGGTCAAGCGTCACTAATGTTCCATCCCTAAATCTCCTCATGCTATTGCCTCCACTGACTGCAGGTGACTGTCCGCTTTTTCATGCTTTCTTACCCGTCGTCATTTTCTTTCTGTCGGCCACTAGCTAAGGAACACATACGGCGTAATCGGCAGAGTCGGACCTTTTTGGTGGAGAATGTCATAGGAGAAATCTGGTCCGAGCTGGAGGAAGGTAGCGTCCTTCAATGTCCTTTGCTCTTGCTGGATTTTTTTTTTTGTGCTGCTGGCAAAAATGCATTCCCATTGTCCCTTTTGCACTTTTGGAAAATGTTCAAAACCAGTGGGTTTTAAAAACCACTCACACAGGGAGAGCTGTTTGGGGAGCTATCATTTTGCATGTTGTAAAACCACGTAGACTCTTCAAAAGAAAGGTAGGACTTGGAACTCTCCAGTTCCAGAGTAAGTCTTGTGTTAAACAGCAGGTAATTCCAGGGCGCTGTTCACATGGCAGGAAGTTGCCCACTAGTTTGTGCCGAGTATGCAGCACTGTGTGACTCTTAAAGATTCCCTCACCTGGGTTCTCCATCACCTATGCCTAACCCGCCTTCCTGGGCAGATATGACTGCATTCTCCTTAGTCATGAATAACTCCCAGTGCTGCAAAACCATTGTGCCAGTCACTTAGCTGGGCATACCTAATCATCACCTACCAGCTTGTTTCAGATGGAGGTTGACAAGCAGTCTGTGTAAAAGATGGCTGTTTTTGTGCCAGGTGACAAGTACGTGGTTGTGGACAGTGGCGGTGGCACCGTAGACCTGACAGTCCATCAGATACGGTTACCGGAGGGACACCTTAAGGAACTGTATAAAGCAACAGGTGAGCCATTGGCTAATTTCCTCATACCTGAGCTATTTCCTGGCAATTTTGTTTCACTTGTTTTCGAATCTCCAGTTCAGTTCGCAGTGCTACTAGCATGTGGGATCGTAGGCGGGAGAGGATACCAACGCCTGTTTGAAACTGCAAAGCAAAATGCAATTAGATGTTCTTTACAACACAAACCTCCACAACTTGGGTTTTGGCATAAAGTGAGCCTGCTTTCTGAAAGTTCTGGAAGGATGTGATTGTAATTCGATGTCGCCTACGACTTAGTGCTAAGGTCAGCTTTCTAGGGAGGTCTCAGGATACCTTGTCTTGCATCCAGATTGTGAAACCAAAGAACATGCACTTTCTCTTTGGGGAGGGGGATAATTAGTGGATCACACAGGGGCTAGATGAGGCTGATTTTCCAGACCCCACCCCGGGATTTCTTGGGTGGGAATACCGCGATGCTCCTCATTAGATAAAAATGTTGATGTTATTTAAAATGTAATTGATTTACAACAGATGGTTGAAGAGAGATTTCGGTAGGAAAAAGTTTCTCCATATGGAATGACAAGAACCTAAGGGTTTTGAAGTGTAAGTAAAAACTTAGAGCTGTAGTCTGCTTGCTAAGTGGGTCCAAGTGCGTTACTCTGTGCTTCAGAGATGGACACGAAGTAGGCGTGTTTCTCAGAGGCTGGATTCAGCTTTGGATGGTTTTTAACATCGCGGGCTCCCATTTTGTTCTCTACTCAGGCGGACCCTATGGATCCTTAGGAGTAGATTATGAATTTGAAAAACTTCTGTGTAAAATATTTGGAGAGGATTTCATCGAACAATTCAAAATCAAACGGCCTGCTGCCTGGGTTGACTTAATGATTGCGTTTGAGTCCCGCAAAAGAGCAGCTGCCCCAGACCGAACTAACCCCCTGAACATCACTCTGCCCTTCTCCTTCATTGACTATTACAAGAAGTTCCGTGGGCACAGCGTGGAGCATGCCCTGAGGAAAAGCAAGTGAGTTGGGTTTACCTTTGGCTCAGGACATTCTCGGGTGGATTGTGTTGGTGGGAGAGAGGAAGGAGGTGTGGACCCTGGGTTGCAATCCTACACTCACTGTGTGAGTGGGCAAGGGGCTGTGTGGCCTTGGGCAAGGGGCTCAACTTCTCTATTCCACAGTTTTTTAATCTGGAAAATGGGGATAATAATTCCTCTTACCTCAGAGGATTGTTGTGAGGATGGAATGAATTCACACACATTAGGTGCTTAGCACAATGCCTGGGCCCTGGCAAGAATTATCCTTGTGTTAGTCAGTGGTCACTAATAATATAAGCTTGATGAAAGCAGAGAAGTTGAGTTTTGGCCACTTCTGCTTGCCCAATGTCTAGAAGGGAATCTGGTATACAGTAGGTGTTCTGTAACTAATTGTTGAATAAATCCGGTGGGAGTCTAGGTTTCCTGCTACTCTGAGTCCCTTGGCTGCAGGCAAGAGTTTATTTTTCAGCTGGTTGCAAAATAAACATATAAGGAAGACGTTTTAAAGCTGAATTTTAAAATAATAGATAAAAATCATAGGTTTCTAATAACCTTAAAAATTTGTTTGATACATATCCATAGTTAAAAGATTACTATAGACAAATGCACTTACATCTCTATTAACTTTCCATAATTATTATACCTTGTTCCAATAACCTTAAATTTAAAATCATAACCATAATACCATTATCACACTTAAAAATCAATTCTTCAGTGTCATCAAATATCCAGTTAACATCAACATTTTTCCAATTGTCTCATACATTTTTTTTCAGTTTGAGTCTGCATCCAAATGAGGGCTGTACACAGCAACTAAATGACCTGCCTCTCAGGTCCCACTTAGTGTATAGGTTCCTTTCCTGTTTTTTTCCTTCACAAGTTATTAGATGCTCAAACTGGTAGTTTGTCCTATAGAGTTTCCTACAGTCTGGGTTTTGCTCGCTGCATGTCCACAGTGTTACATAGCACATTCTATCCTGGTTTTTTGTTTTTTTTTTTTACAAATTGGCAGATTAACTTAGAGGTATAATCAGATTCAAGTTTGAATTTTTGGTCTTTCCTATTGAGGCACATCAGGGGACATACAATGTCTGCTTCTCTCTCCTTTTGTGATGTTAGCGGTCATCGATGATCAGTGCCTTGGTCCATGAATTCAATTAGGGGGGCCACCTGGTTATCATATTAGTCTATCGTTCCTTCATTTATTTCAGCTAGAATAGAAACTTTTCTCATGAGTGGTTTGGTTGCCCTGAAGTGTGGTTTATATAGGAAAGACAGGATAAATGGTTGTTTTCTCCATTTATAAGTTAAAAAAAAACCCAGAAAGTTATTTCCCAACATCCTCCAAAGTGGCTAATGGGTTTTTCTTTTTTCTTTTGCAAGGGTATGAAGGGCGTGTCATTAAGAATTCATGGATTTAAGCATATTTGGTGTACTTTAAATCAAATTATATTCTTATGGACACTCAAATTATCCCTTCTTGGCCAGTAGGAGCTTCTTCAGGTTGGCTCTAAGTCCCTTTGACATGACACTAATGGTCTTTGATAGGGTCTTTGCCTTCTGATACACGAAGACACTCCTGGCTCATCTTGTACATTCCCTACCCCAGACCTGGAGTCGGCCTTTGGTTCCTTTTAGTGGGAGACAAAGTAGATTTGATTACAGGTCTTCTTGCCCCCTTGGAGCAGGACCAACTCAGACCCTCTTCTGGGCTTATGTTCTCTCTGCCCCATTGGTCCCCCATAGAGGGCACCTGCACAGTTCTGGGGCCAGTCAACCCTCCTACTAAGGAAACTGGCCACAGCCAGCCATGGGGTCACTCTACAGTGCACCATGTTGTCCTTTGGCCAATGCTGTGGAAAGAATTTGTGCCCTGGGAGACCTGGCAGCATCTAGAACGCATTGCTGGGAAGCAGCTGGTGTGTGCTTTGTGTCAGGGACAGAGACACCATTTGCTTTGCCCTTTCGAACTTTAGAACAGGTGGGGTACACACTGTGCATTTGGATATGAAACAGTCCCTGGCATTCGTTGAGTGCCAGAAAATTTCCAGAGTGTTTTCACAGACATGGTATTTAACTTGATCTTCACAACAACTCCTGTGAGGGAGGTAAGGCAAGTGCTTTTATCCTTGACTTCCAGATGTGAAGACAGGGCTCAGAGAAAAGGGAGGCCAACCTGCCTAAGGTCCCATAGCTCCTCAGTGGTGGTGGCCAGACCAGAGCCCCACAATCCCGGCACCCCATAATCCTGGCTTCCTGTCCAGGGCTCTTTCTGCTCCATACCACCACTTCTGGACGTGCTGCCCCTTTGACAGAGGCACCATGAGGGCCATAGTAGGAATTAAGCTTATCCCTGTCTTGTGACAGGTGCCTGGGGGGCTAAGGGACATGCATTGAGGCACAGATGTTTGTAGCTTTACATAGCAGTGCAGGGAACATGTCATATGAGCCTTTAACATGCTCGAATCCAAGTATTGTTGGACTTGCGACGTGGTGCTCTGTGAGAGAGAGCACTTCATCGCCTGGTCTTTTGCACTGGACTTTGGCCTCCCCTATTCAGGCGAAGTCAGCCACAGCCAAATGCTAAGATAGACAGAGGAGGTGACGCTTAGCTTTTAAGCTCCTCAGGTTTCAGGCCCTGGCAGTTTAGGGGGTTCCCAAGGTGCCTTTGACTTTCAACCCCTTTATGCCCCCGAGATGTGACAGATATCTTGCCAGGGCGCCTGTCTCTGCAGAGAAGTCTGGGTACCATGTAGATACTCACTGCCTGTTCCTCTCTGCCACACTCCCACAGTGTGGATTTTGTGAAATGGTCCTCCCAGGGGATGCTGAGGATGAGTCCAGACGCCATGAATGCCCTTTTTAAGCCAACCATCGACAGCATCATTGAGCATCTCCGTAAGTATCTGCCAGGGCTTGGCCCCCTCAGCTCGGTCCCCGAGCTGAGGACCGGACTGACTTTTCCTGCATCACCAGCTAGTGCATGTGAAGCCAGGTTGGCAGGGGGCCCAGGCCCGGGACTGGGCAGGGCTGGAGCATGTACGAGGGAGGCTGCTGGGCCCAGGTTCTGGGCCCCTCTCCTCAGGTACTGCAAGGCCACTGACAGCCTGTCTCACCCGGCCTTTCAGTTTGCCCTCAAAAGTCAGAGAGCTGGGAGCTCTAAAGCAATACTACCTGAAAGTTACAGGCCCTAGGAAATGCACATCCCTTGCTTTATCAGGACAAACTGGGAATCCTTACCCTGCTAGAGGAGAAGGAACTGTGGTGTAAACCAAAGGGAAGTGTGCAAGAGGGCAGTGCCTTTATCCTGCTCCGTCAGTGGCACTCTCCCAGGGACACACAGCAGACTCACCAGGGACCTTTTCCAGTGTCTAAGCCCCACCATCCACTTCCCACCCCTCACCTACCAAATCAGATGGGATGTTTATGAAAATCCAAGAATTCTATTTATAACAGCCTGCCTTGACTTACTCAACAGAACCACATGTTGGGAGAGCTTTAGGAATATTCATTTATGCATAACAAATTCTATTTAAAGTTACTACCATTTATCTGTTCAGATGGGTTTCTACTTAGTAGCAGCTCTGGCTTTTATTCCTGAACATATTGGTGTGCAAACTCCCTTTCTCTAAAAGATCAGCTCTGTAAAAATTCTGTTCAAGAAGCTCAGACTAAGCCTGCCCGCCTTGTTGGCCCAAGTGGTTTTGTCCACCCCCCACAGACTCGGGCAGCCCTGTTCCCCCTTGCTTGCCGACTCTTGCTGACAGGGTGTTCTCTCTTCCCCTTCCCTTTCAGGGGACCTGTTTCAGAAGCCTGAGGTGTCCACCGTCAAGTTCCTCTTCCTGGTGGGCGGCTTTGCCGAGGCACCCCTCCTGCAGCAGGCGGTGCAGGCTGCCTTTGGGGACAAGTGCCGGATCATCATCCCCCAGGATGTGGGCCTCACCATCCTCAAGGGTGCTGTCCTCTTCGGCCTGGACCCCGCCGTCATCAAGGTGCGCCGGTCCCCACTCACCTATGGGGTGGGCGTGCTCAACCGCTACGTGGAGGGCAAGCACCCGCCCGAGAAGCTGCTGGTGAAAGACGGCACTCGCTGGTGCACCGATGTCTTTGACAAGTTCATCTCTGCCGACCAGTCGGTGGCCCTGGGGGAGCTGGTCAAGCGTAGCTATACCCCGGCCAAGCCCTCGCAGCTGGTCATTGTCATCAACATCTACAGCTCTGAGCACGACAACGTCAGCTTCATCACCGACCCCGGGGTGAAGAAGTGCGGCACACTCCGCCTGGATCTCACGGGGACCAGTGGTGTGGCAGTGCCCGCCCGGAGGGAGATCCAGACCCTTATGCAGTTCGGGGACACTGAGATCAAGGCCACAGCCGTTGATATAGCCACTTCGAAGAGTGTCAAAGTCGGGATCGACTTCTTAAATTACTAACCACTCCTCCCTGCCACCTGCCCCCTCGACTCGACTTACCTGCATCTGCTGACCTCAACCTTGACTGTTCTTTCCCTGACCTTGACCCTTGCCACTGCCCACCTGAATTTCAGCAGGGAAGATGAGAACAATCAAGGCTAGAAAAAATTAGGGATTTTTGAGGGCATGTTGGAGTCATTAAAAACTGCCAGAAATTAGGAGTAAAGTTTGGACATAGGAAATTAAAGGATCCTAGAAGAGCAGCTAGTTTTCATAGGTGCAAAGGTGGTGAAACAGCCACCGACAAGGGAATCAGTACATTTCTGCAGCAGTGGTTGAGCTTGCTCGGAATAGATCTCTTTTAAGTAGGATTTACGATGCCCTCTTGCTGTCTTTCTAGATTTAAAAATGAGATCTTTGAGCCAGGAGGAGATCTTCATCTGAGACTTTTAAATTTTTTTGGATGGCAGTCAGTATAAAATGCCACCCATCTGCAGTTAATTTCTTTTCATCATTATGTGATTGAAAGTGGTGATTCAGTGGGAACTTGGAATGTTTTTAGCTGGTAGTAGAAGACTGCCTACACCGGGCACGGATTAGGTTCTCGTATCATTTAAATAACAGGGAGGTTCTGGGGAGAACAACTGTAGCCTTGGCTAATCCACTCCGATTTTCATGGGTAGGAGAGCTGATACCTCACCTTTTCAGCAAGTAAAGAGTTGCTCTGATGGAAATGGATATTAAAGAGTTACTGACAGATCCCAAATTATGTGCTGTGATATAATTCCCAGAATGCCAAGTCCTGATTTCTGAGTTCATAAGTAATTCTAGTTAATCTTAGTAGAAATTCTGAGTGAGAAAATGAGGTTGCCATATGCCTTGTTCACAGAAGGCCAGGGCAGCCCCCACCTTGAAAAGCAGCTAGCTTTTAAATTAACCCCCTCCTTCCTGCTCACCTTCGTCCCCCTAAGAGTTTTGGCCATTTATTCCCACATTTTGAAAGGAATACTTGGTGAAATATGAGCAGAGCATCTGTTCTATGAAATGGGTCATTAATATCCTCAGTTTTTAAAGCCTATCTAAAAATAACATGTAGATCTGTACTTGATGAATTAAGCCATTTTTTTTTCCAAAGCAGCTCTGTGCTCACCTGCATCAGAATTGCCTGGGTGCTTGTTAAAAACTGGTTCCTGGATCCTGTCCTTTTTCAACTGCAATCACTCTTGGAGAGGGGACCAGGTTCAACTGAAATCTGACAAATGCTAACTTCAGGTTCTGCTGAAGCTGAAGCACAGACCACAGCCCCCTTCGATCTTTCCCTTAGGTTCCCTTAGGAAGAGGATTTACACGTGAAGGTGATCCTGCACCTTGCCCCTCGGTCAGTGGGGTGGAGGCTCCACCTGGCGTGGGGATCACCCTTTTAGCCCTCATAGGAAGGGCCTAGGGAGGAAAAAGATTGCGAGAAAGGAACCCTAAGAACAGGGCTGACCGAGGAACCAACCAGAGGGTCTGTTCTGCCTTCTCTCCTTCCCCACTCTACAAAGCCAGTTTTCTCCAACATTCCAGAGCCAGTTGAGGAAAAAGAATCAAGAATCTGACTCACAGCCCATCTGACCTGTTCAAAGCTGTCTTTTCCACCTGCTGGAATTCGTTCCAATTTTAAATCACTGGAGGCATGCATAATGAATGAACAGAGACTGAGCGAATGGACTTCGAATGCGAGTTGGATTCACAAACCCCTTATCATGGCAGATACGCAGATTTTAAATAGCTTTTTCAATTTCATTTTAACATCTTTTTACATCGCCTGCTGCAGAATTCCTTACTAGAATGTAAAACACGAGCAAACCACAGAACTAGAGAACGCTAGTCACATGACTTGGTTGCAGGATTTTGTTATCCAGGCACAAAGGTGTGTTTGCTAGTGTTCTCTTGCTACCAGTGCTGCTTCAAAAGCTAAATGTTATGGGTCTGTCTTTGGTGTTGCCAGCCATATTCTACAAATAAGACTTTTCAATGTTGTCATGAGTAATATAATTTTATGTATATATAATATTAGAATATTGTACAGAATCTTTATTTCTACAATGTGCTTTTCTTGTTTAAAAAAAGAGGAAATGCTCTTTAATTGCTGTTCTTAATTTTCCACATTGTCATTTTTTAATTGTGCTCACTAATCATCCATTTGTGCCGATACCAAGCTATGGACTATGTTTGCAAGACTGAGCAATAGACAGAGGTGCCTAGGGTCAGAATACTCTGAACACACAGGCCACCTGGATCAACAGCTTCATAAGACCCTTCTACATGTACACCCTTCCCAAAGATTCACAGATTATATTTAAAGGAGCTTATTTTATCAATTCTCCTGTACAGACTTTGAGAGCTGAACATTCTGGTTCTGTAAGCAATGAGATTGTGCAGAACCACTTTAGAAAGCTCTGCATCCTGAGGTGTCATCAACCTTTCCTTCTCGGGCAAAGCAGTTACTCTGAAGGCAAAGTGTGGTTCACCATGTGTGATGTTTTCATTATGCCGGAAAGGAACCAAGTGGTACATAGACCCAGCTTTTCTCCTGGGTTAAATGTAAGTGTGAGTAATAGAGTTGAGCACCTACCCCTCCCCCATTTTTTTTCTAACATAAAGGCTTTCCCACTTTGAATTAAGGATGTCTCCTTGTCTACTATTCTCTTAAATGAGCTAATAGGAATCTGCAGTGTTGGCAAATAGATGGAGAGGGTGATCATCTTACTGGACTTTCTTCTGGCCACAGGTATGCAGCCCTAGTAGTCAAACTCCGTAAACGAAAACAACTCCCAAATCCATCCCTCGCTTCCCCCGCCCCCCGCTGAAATATTCTAGAATGAAAGCACTGGATAAGTACACTTGGTCACATTTTCTAATCTTAGGAAGTTTCTCGAAGGCCTGTTTTGACCCATTACTCAATTGCCCCTGGGCATATTATCTGATATTCACGTTCCTTGGAAGCAGACTGTCAAGAATTTCCTTTGTAACTGCCTTTTCTGTACACAGCAGGCATTAAGAAATGGTGAATAACAGACAAGTTACAGACAGGATAGGGGAAAAAAGGAGCCACACAAGTGTTTTTGCAAAGTGATGACTGAGATGAGTCCAGATTACAAAGGCTGCCCTACCTTTAGAATGTTATTTAGACCAAGTTTAGCTTTTAGAGACCAGGTCTGGTTAATTGCCAGGGTAGCAAAGAATCGCATGCACCAATATATACAGGAGTCAAAATGCATTATTAGTTGAAGATCGAATTTCACGTAGTAGAGATGTAATAGCTGTGATTAAGCTGCATATGTATGCTGGGAAATGGCTTAAGTGGGTGACTAGTATAAAAGTTGTTGGCCATAATGTCACACCTCTCATCTGCTTGAATTCTAAAATATCAGCTATTGGGGTCTTGTTCACTACAAGATAAATTCAAATTTCACAGAACTTTGCAGCAGTTCACAACTTGACAGGATTGTATCTGCAAACTGTCTTCACGGATGTCAAATAAAGCAAAACTCTGGATCTCATGTGGCCCAGATTTTTTTTTTCCCCATTCTGGGTTTGTAAATGGAATTATGGACAGGTAATTACTGACCTCCCCTTCCACCCCATCTCAGGCGGAGATTTTGAGGTCCTTTACTAAGTGTTGTTAAGTTTTATTAACAGTCATTCCAACAAGGCTAGCCCCTCTGTTTGCTGGGAACCAAGGCTCCATTAGTGTCCACAGAGCCCCTTTTCCCTCCAAGCTAGAAGAAAGTGGTCCAGCCAGAGAGAAGTAAGATGAGCTGGGTGGCCACTGACAACTCCGCTGGCCCCTAATGAAAGTCATTAAAAACATGCAGAAGGCCTGGGACGAGTGTGTGCCCCTGGGCATCCTAGCAGGCACATGACACGGGCTGTGTCCAGAGCCTCGGGTTAATTCCTGGCCCCACACCTGGGTCACTCCCCAGAGTTGGCTCTAGAAGCAGGTACGAAGTGGAGTCCTAGGGCTCTTAAGAGGGGTATAAACGATGGTTGGCTCCACCAGTCTTCATCAGAAGTTCAATTTCCAGGAGAGTAGAGGTAGGGAAGGCTGGGAGGTGCAGCAAACCCACACCTGTGCTGGGAAGTTGTGCCGCCAGGCAGTCTGCTTCAGTTTCCTCTGCAAAGGGAGCTGCGGGGCCAGCCGTCTGGAAACCCAAACCTGAGCTCTCCGTCTGGTTTAAGGTTGGCTGTAAAGGAGTAAGACTTCCCCAGGCAGCCCTTCACTTGGTGCCCTTCCCTGGCCACCTGAAAATCCGGCCTCTCCTAATGGGAGACTGAAAGAGAGGCAGAGCTGCCAGGCCTGGGGACGCCACCATGGCCGCAGGGCCTCACCTCCTCCCCGGGCTGCCTCCCGGCCCCGCTGGGCCTCCCACAGCCCTGACTTTTGGCCGGGCTCAGACGCCTCCGGAGGCCTGTTCCCAACCACCGCTCCCCCGCCCGACCTCCAGGTGCAGCCAGGCCCAGGCGCCTCCGAGTCTACACCCGCAAGATGGCGGCTTCGGCCCAGGGCGGAGCGAGCCCCTGTGCCCCGCTGCGGGGACAAGGCATGGGGGGGCGGGGGGGACAGCCCCGAGGCCAAATTATTTGTTGGGCAGATGCCCGATTTCACATCGGGGGGCCTGGCTGAGCCGGCATAAGTGCCCCAAATTCACTGTTTCCGCCCCCCACCACCTACTGATTCCAGTTGGGGGGCCCGAGGAAGTGGGGAAAGGGCCGGGCTGGGGGCGTCCTCGCTCCCTCCCCCGCGGGGTGAGCGCACAAAGGCCTGGCTGGAGGTGGAGGCGGGGAGGCTGGGACAGAGGCTGGGGTGGGCGGGAAGCCCCACCAGCCATGATCCAGGCCCGCCCAGGTGAGCACTAGGGAGCCGGAAGGGGTCCTGTCTAGGCTTTCTGGCCCCCCTCCCGGTCCTTCCCTCAGGACCCCTCCTCCAGGTAGGGTTTAGAGGTCATCTGTCCATATCCCCTTTCACTCTAGAACCCTCTCTGCCTTATTTTTTCTCATCTATACAATGGGGACTCAGTAGAAACTGTTAGGGAAGCTGTGGGGATTAAACAAGAACCGTTCTGCTTCAGCATGTGGGCATAGCCAGTGTTCTATAAATACCTGTTGCTTTTTTTAATACTCTTCTGGAAATGGGTATAATAATAGCATTTATGTCATGGGGCTGTTGAGAGGATTAAATAAGTTAACACAGACACGTACACCTTTCAGAACAATTCTTGGGAAGCAGGTGGTCTGTATGTGTTGGGTGTGGATTCAGAGCCTGGTCTGTGACTGCAGGACCAGCGTCTCCTCTCAGGAGCCAGGCACGTGAGATCAGGGGCCTAGACGTGGTGCAGTCCTCACTGCTGTCAGCCTGGTGGGGACTGAACTGTCTTAACAATTCCTGACTAACCCATGACTGTGGCCCTCCCCTCCACCCTGAATTTCCTTCTCCTGGCCTCCAGGGCATCACTTTAAAGAGACGAACTGGTTTGGCAGGGTAGAACGTGGCAAGGCCATTTGGGGGGACTACCTGCGATGCCCAAAGCGGGAAGGGGTCTTGCTCCAGAAACAGCATCCACATAAACTCATGCTTCAGTGGACCCCCCACCACCCTCTGCTCACTCACCTTGGACTCTGTGTTAGCCTTTTGGGACTTCCTGATCCCTTCAAGCCAGAATTTACTCTACTTCTTTGTTGTGCAGGGCCTTCCTATATGTTTAGCAGCATCCTGGCCACTAGATACCAGTAGCATCCCATTCCCCAGATGTGACAACCAAAAATGTCTCTAGACATTGCCAGAGATTCCAGGGGTGAGAGTGCGGACTGGCAAAAATTACTTGGGCAAAGAAAGGGCTGGGAGGTGTGAGTGCCTTGTCTCTCCCCTCCCCCAAGATTCATTGTCTTTACATGGGGGCTCCTGGGCCTTGCACATCTTTATATTGCCAACCTCTGTTACATTCCGTGACCATAGTATGTGTATAGTTCATGATTGTTGGATGGATGGATGGATGGATGGATGGAAGCTTGGATGGAAGCTTGGATGGAAGCCTCCATGGGAAGGTAGACACTGGTGGTACCAGGTCATTGGTTCATAACTGAAGCCAGCCACATCCCCTGGCTTTGGGTAAGATGGTGGTGCTGCCTCTCTGTCCCAACCCCTGGCAAGTCATCCTTCCACTCCCAAGGGCTTGCACACACACGCAGTAAGTTCTTGAGGCAGGGACTTTTGATGAGAACATTTCATTCCTCCTTCCCTTCATTAACAGAGAAAAAAACCATGGAATCTTCCAAGACCTTCATGAGAAATCCGCCGATCACACCAGGCTACAGTGGTAAGTGTGGATGGCATGTGTAGCCATGCCTGGCAGGAGAACCCTGGTCCTGGTCTCTGTCCCTGCCTTGGCTCACTATCTGGCCCACTGGGACAGTATAGGTGCTCTAGCTTTTTTTGTTTTTTGTTTTTTTAAGAGAAAGGTTCTTGCTCTGTTGCCTAGGCTAGAGTGCAGTGGCACAATCATAGCTCACTGCAGCCTCGAACTCGTGGACTCAAGATCTTGATTCTCCCTACCTCAGCCTCTGGAGTAGCTGGGACTATAGGCATGAACCACCAGAGCCCACTGATTTTTTAAAAAATTTTTTATAGAGACAGGGCCTTGCTGTGTTTCCTAGGCTGGTCTCAAACTCCTGGCCTCAAGCAATCCTCCTGCCTTGGCCTCCCAAAGTGTGGGGATTACAGGCATGAGCCATTGCTCTTGGAGGCTCTAGCTTTTAAGACACACAGTGAGAGCACTCCATTGCTGAAGACAGCTGATAGTCAGGTTCTATAAATGGAGAGACAGAACTTAGGCCAGATCTCCCAGGACGTGGCCTAGTATACAGGAAGCACTTAATGCCTGTTGAATGAATTTGGACCAGGATAGACACAGTGTGATGAGGACAGATACATGAATGAGGGGGGCCCTGTCCTTCCCAAGTTGGGCTTTCTCAAGTCTCCCAAAAAGGTCATTCCCTATGCTCCCATTCCTTCTTGTGTCCCTTAAAGGGAAGGTGGCCCACTGCCCTGGTTTGCCAGGTACTGTGCTGGTTTTTGTACTGGAAGTCCTGCATCCAGGAAACCCCTCAGTCCTTGACAAACCAAAACAACTGGTTGCCCTACCTAGAAACTCTTTCTCCTCAGGCTTCTGGGCAACTGAGAACTTACTAAGTCACATCTCTCTGGGTGACAAACTCAGAGGTCCTCTTAGGCCCTCAGCTGTCCCATACAGCTGTTCTTAGGAGGGGTGGTGCTTGGGCAATATGCCAAGGCTGCCCAGCCTCACCCTGGTCCTACTGGCTGGTTAAGAGAACAGGCTTTGGGTTCAGACAAACTGAGGTTCAAATCTGCTTCACCACCACCTATGCAACTGTAAGTGACTTACCTCTCTATAGTAAGTAAAAATTCTATCAAATGGATGTGTTAGTTTCTAGGACTGCTGTAATAAGTTACCACAAACTGGGTGGTTTAAAAACAACAGAAATGTTCTGGAGGCTGGAAGGCTGAAATCAAGGTGTCTGCAGGAAGATGCTCTTTGAAGGCTCTAGGGGAGGATCCTACCTTTGCCTCTTCCAGTTTCTGGAGGCCCCAGCGTTCTTGGCTTGTGGCAGCATCTCTCCAGTCACTGTCTCCATCTTCACATGCCCTTTCTCCTGTGGCTCTGTGACTCCAATCCACCTCTTCCTTCACTTATAAGGACACCGGTCATTGGATTTAGGACCTACCCTAAATCCAGGATGATCTCATTTCTAGATCCTTTACTTAATTACATCTGCAAAGACCCCATTTCTAGATAAGAACACATTCACAGGTATCAGGGGTTAGGATTTGGAGATCTCTATTTGGGGGATACAGTTCAACCACTACATGGGATATCAAAAGATTGCTGTGAGGATTAAAGGAGCCCACATACATAACCTGTTTTAAATGTCTTAGTCCTTAGAAGACACTTGTATTCCCAATTCCTATGTGCACATGCGTATATACACTGAGATGAACTATGTGCAGATCAAAGCAGGCCCTGATGGCAGGGTAACCACTATGGCAGGGACCCTGGGATTCTGTGATCTCTCCATGACATTAGGGGAGATTTGCTGGTACATGGAGAACTTCCAGCGCTGTCAGGATCAGTGTAGTAATTAGATTCTTCCAGAGGTAGCTTATTGTAGGGCACAGGGGGTAGGGGTTGCTTTTTTCAACTTTGAAGCCAGGTTTTGTTTTCCTAGGGGCAAAGTCAAAAATGCTGGGCTTCAATAATGAGAGACACTTATTTATTTGCTTTGCAGTTTAAAACCAAGTTCTTAACCAGTTTTGCTCATTTGTTCTTCCAAAAAATGGTTTTATTGTGACAATATTATAGTACTTAGGATTCAGCATCCAGTTTAAATAAATAAGCTGTGTTTTACCCACACTAATTGTAATGATTATATGTTATTTTGTGGGAAATGGTGAAAAATTGTTCTAGGGGTGGGTCTTGCAGATAATGAATTTACCTTTTTGTGTAATAGGTCTCTGCTTTTAATAAGCCTGCAATTTCCTGATGGTCCGGCAAGAAAGATCCCAAATTGCATTTGGGAAGTGTCGAGGAAAATAAGCTTTCTCTCTAAAAAGATGAATAATTTCAATTACTCCTCAGACTATCATTTTGTCCCATTAAATGCTTTCCCCGTTTGCCGTTCAGGCTGACGTCAGGGGCTTTGCCATCAAAGAATATTACTGTCATTGCCTTTATTGAAATGGGCCTTCCCTCCACAGCTCCAAGGTCATTTCTGTGGCCCTGGGAGGGCCCAGCCACAGTGGAAACAATAGCACTGCTTGTATTAATGGCCTTTGGAGAAATGGCAGTGCTGCCGGCTGAGGAAGAGGTGCCAAGCGGTGGGCTGAAATTCTGGGCAGTTTAGGCAGGCTCTAAATTCCTTGCTGGCTGCCTTGCTGAAGGCTGCGATTCCGTTGGCTCTTGCAGGCTTTGTGCCGTTCCTTAGCTGCCAGGGAACCGCCAACGAGGATGACATGGGCCACTGTCTGAAAACCTTCCAGGAGAACACCCAGCGCTATAAAGACCAGCTGGAGGAATTTCGCTGCTCCGTGGCCACCGCCCCGAAACTGATGCCGGTCAGCTCCGAGGAGACGGTCCTGCGGGCGCTGCACCAGTACTACCGGCAGTACCACCCCATGCTCCTGGGTACCGGCTGCCTGAAACCTTCTTCCCCTCACCTCTTGCCCCAAGTGCAGGTCCTCCCAGGCCAGCTGAGCTGCCACAGAGCTCTCAGAATCCAGCACAGTTCCAAATCCCCAGGAGTCAGTGTGAAACAAAAGGGCTCCATATTTTAAAATGAGAAAGATCCATTTCCCGGGGACAGGGGCACGGTCCTGGTCAGGAAGAAGGGTGCTGACCTGAGAACTAAGAGACCCTAGGCAAGTCACAATTAGTTTTCAGGCATCAGTAATAAATAATTACCATAATTTGGTTGCTCTCTCTGTGCCAGGCACCATTATTTCACTAACCACTCACAGCAACCCTATGAGGTCAAGACTGTTACTCCCATCTTCAAGATGGGGGAGTGAGGCTTCGCGAGGTAGCATCACTTGGCTAAAGTCCGAGTATGGACTCTGAAGTCAGACCTGGGTTTGAACCCAGCTCTTCCAGGTGCTAGCTGGGTGGGAAGGGCTTTCATACTGAACAACAACTGATGACGTGATTATATAACGATAATAATCACAACGATTTGACCTATATCATTTTTAAGGTCTAAAGGCTTGTAGGAAAAGTGATGGATTGATTGCCTTTATTGTTATTACTATAATTATAATTGGGGGCTTTTCAAGAACCCATGATAATTCACATGTTTGCTGTGCCTTAAGATTTTCCAAGCGTTACTCCAAGCAATAGGAAGGATGTTTGCCGAAGAGTTTGGATATAGCCCAGCCCTGTGACTACTGCTGTGGATCTAGGGCAGCTTGCTTCCCCTCTCTGGGCTCCAGTTTCTTCATCTGTGGCAGGGAAGGATGCACTAGGTGCTTCCTAGGTGCTTTCCAGCTCTGAAGGTCTGGGACTCAGTGGCCTAATTAGGCTCTTACACAAGTGGAAGTGGCATTTGGGGCAGTGAAGCTTGCCCCAGGTCACCCAGCCAGAGTCAGAGCCAGGACTGGGAGGCCGGTTCCTGTGCTGAGTCTGATGTCCTTTCTCCAAACCTGGATGCATCTCTCGATTCCCTGCCTTACGTAAGCTGTCACAGACTCTGACTCTGTGACTCACAGAGGGATGTCTGAAGCTTTTTCATTAACCTGAGAAAGAAGCAGGATCTGTTTAAGACCAAGGACCTGGGGATCAGACAAAACCAGGTTTGAATACTGGCCCTGCCCCTTCCTGGCTATGTGACCTCTTCAAGGTCTTAGCCTCTTCCTTCATACAGTGGAGGTAATAAAGTTTCCAACCTCTTGGGGTTTGTGAGAGAATTAAATGAGATACTACCTGTAAAGCCCCTACCAAGGTACCTGGCATGGAGAATCAACCAATGAGTGGTGGCTGCCCTTAGTGTGTCTACAGGCCGAGGGCTCATCCTAGGTTAAGTGTTGAGGTGCCATCTAAATCAAGAGCACCACCCACTGCGTGGCTTTCCAAAGCCTTCAGGAAGCATGGTGTCTTTTTACAGAATGCAAATACATAAAGAAACCTCTCCAGGAGCCCCCGATCCCTGGCTGGGCGGGCTACCTGCCGAGAGCCAGGGTCACTGAACTTGGTTGTGCCACGAGGTACACTGTCATGGCCAAAAACTGCTACAAGGACTTCCTGGACCTCATGGAGCGAGCCAAGAGAGCACGTCTGAAACCATATGAGGAGTAAGTCTGGCGCGGGTCCTAACCCCGGGCACAAGATCAAGGGAGAAAAGCAGACCCGGCCAGGGCTTTACCAGATGTCCCCATCCCAGTACTAGCACTGTTCCTGCGTCTGATTTGTTGTAGAGAAAGTGCCTCAGTGGTAGTTGCAGGGCCTTCCCCGTAGGCACCCTCCGCTCCCCACCTGTGCTCAGCATTGCCCAGCAGCCCTGCCTGGGGTCTCTGCGGGTTTGCAGGGAGGGTTGGGAGTAAACACCAATAGGTCTCCCCGTCCTGGCAGCAGCCTGATGCCCAAGGGCGCTGAGTGGGTGAGAAGGCAGGGGACACCAGGGTACTGCGTAGGATGGCTCTTGTGGCCTCAGTTTTCTATTCTGCAAAATGGAGATGATGATCTTTACCTTTAGGATAAATTGTAAGGATTAGAAATAAGCATAGCCAGGTTCGCATAGAACCTGCATATATTATATGAATTCTTATATTTATTCTCAATAAGAGGAGTAACTTTATGACTTCTCTTCTTATTTTAGAACATATGGAGTTAGCTCCACACAGCCTTCTGCTCCTTCTCCAAGAGTTTTGCAGCACGAAGGGCTGCTGCCAAAATATCCAGATTTCTCTGTTCCAGGTAAGGAAGGACTCTTTCTTTCCTTCCTACTGCTTTTTTAAAAGGGGATGAAATGTTTGTGATGGCCTCTCTGCTTAGCTGGGCCACTTGCCTGCGACTTAAGTAGATGGTTTCTCTTTCAGATGGAAGCTGCCCTGGTCTTGAAAGACCCCTGGGAGAGGACCCCAGAGCTCCGATGATGTGTGGCTGTGCTCAGAGGCCAAATTTGTCATGCTACGGGAAGATTTATCTAGAGCCACTGTCCTCAGCAAAGCGTGCAGAGGGTAGAAAGCTAGAATCTCCCAAGGAGAGGTGAACCTTAAGGGAAGGTTCAAAAACCTGTCATTCTTGCATCCAAATCAGTCCCTCACCCACACCCCAATGGGCAATAAGGAAATTTAATCACAAGAATTCTTTAACTGCTGCCTGTATCCTGAGCCATTGGCAATAGCATGTCATTAATGACAAAGACCTTTAATTATCATGTGGAATACAGAAGATACTTCCCAGCATGCTAAAGGTTTTTGAGCAGGTTTTTTTCTAGGTTATATTGACCTTGAGCCAAGGGGTTGGGGGCATCTGTTCCTGACCAAGCTCTTCATTGAAGACCTAGCTCAGCCTTCTAACTAGGTAGTGCTCCTGGGTCCTGGTGTGGTATGTCCCCAACACTGGCACAGATGCCATGCTCTCCCCAGCCCTGATTTTTCAGAATTCCGGTCTGCATGCGGGTGCGGCTGGCAGACACTGGCTATATTAGTTTGCTAGGGCTGCCTTAATGAAGTACCACAAACAGGGTGGCTTAAGACAATAGAAACTTATCATCTCAGTTGTGGAGACTGGAAGTCCAAAATTGGGTGTTAGCAGGGCCATGCCTCTCCGAAGCCTGCAGGGGAATCCTTCCTTGCCCCTTCTTAGCTTGTGACGCTTTGTGGCAACTTCAGCATTTCTTGCTGCATAGCTCCAATCGCCCTGTGAATCTCTGTGCCTTCATGTGGCCATCTTCTTACAAAGACAACAGTGGAGGTGGGTTAGGAGCCACCCTACTCCAGTCACCTCATCTTAGCTAATTACACCTGCAATAACCCTATTTCCAAATATGTCACATTCTGAGGTACTGGGGACTAGAACTTGAATGTATCTCTTTTGAGGGACACAGTTGAACCCCGATGCTGGGTAACATCCTCTTGCCACTGACAGGCACTCTGACCTCCCTGGGCAGCCATCAGCTCACAGAAGAAATCAAAAGCAGCTCCTGGGACAACAAGGCTGTTGGCATCAGAAAGCTCAAAAATGTGCCCAGCCGAAAGATGCAGCAAGCTCCCCCTGGGAGTTTTTCCCAAGGCAAGAATTTTACCTGGGCTCCATGGACTCCCAAGTTCCATGGGTAGAAATCAGGAGGTTGGAGAACTTTGATGAGAACAAAGTTACATCTTTGTTTTCACTAGCCTCCAAGTGGAATTTAGTATTTCCTTTGTTTATGAATGTAAGCAACAGACTACAGCCGTACCTGTCCCTTAGCCCGATAGTCATCACAGATCTTTTCACGTCATATGACAGTTGTCTCAAACAGCTTGAAATAATGTTAAAGCTCACCACTACTTCATAATCACAGTAGTTGTTAGGGCTACTCTATCTACTCTCTAACACTGTTATTCAATATACGAATAAAGAAACACAAATGGTTATTTTATAAATTTGTTCTTTATAACATTTTGATATTATCTTAATATAGTTTCTTTTGTAATCTTCTGTATTTTACTTTATATGTTTGAAAACATTTTGAGAAGCGGTCCACCAGTTTCACCAGATAGCCAGAGGGTTCCTAGCACAGAATTGGTTAAGAATCCTTGTCCAGAGAAACAACTGAGGATGTATGTCAAGGTGATTGTCATACAAAACCAAACAATGACCCCATCCATACAGGATTTGAGATTACAGTAAATCTCATTATTAAAAAATAATGTGATGGAAGAAACTTTTGTGAAAAAATATTAAGATACAGTATGTGAAAAAGACAGTTCCTAAAAACTGTACAATAGTAACCTATGTGTATCAAACACACACATCCTGTTTTTTGTTAAAGGGGAGGGGTGCTAACTTATAATGCTAGCAATGGTCATTTGGGTGTTGGTGTTATTGGTCATTTTTATTTTCTTATTTGTGCTTTTTCCAATCTTCCACAGCCAATTAGGTATTGCTTTCATAATCAGGAAAAAATGTCATTTACAAAATCTTTATTTGAATTGGCTAAAAGATATTTTAGTATTTTAGAGATTATATATTTAAAGAAAAAAGTCACATCTTAATAGAAGCTAGCTGGCATTTTCTCAAAGGGCTGTGGCAAAGCTCACGGAAAAGTCAGGATTTCTTCCAGCATTCTTAAAACCCTGCAAGAGTGATCCACAATCCAGAAAGGAAACCCACTGCTAGATCTCTCACCTACGGGGCGAGTGGCCCAGCCTGCTGCGTCTCCCAATGAGCCACGTGGAATTCGTGTCTGCCTGGCCCCCTCTCCCAAACCCACAGAGTTAGCAAATGGCTGCTTGCGGCTCAAGGTTATTGGGGTCTTTACCCATGAAATTAAGGGGGGGTGCCAGGACTGCAATGATTCCTTGCAACTGTCCTCATCTTACTCTCATCTGTGGGATCATAGCGTGCATCAGTATTTAAGTCATTTACAATTCCTTTTGCACCAACTTCTAAAAAATGGCTTGAGCTGTAAAACCGAAACAAAAACAAGAAACAACCACCCAGTGACAGCGGTAACCAAATTAAATAAAGACAATTATAAAAATTCTTTAATAGTATCTAATTCTTTTACAACTTTATGATTAAAATTACCAAGTTCCATGTGCAAATCTGTAACTCTTTTGTTTAAGCCGTTCTGCATTGTAATTCTTTTCCTTAATCTTTATCCTTTCTGTTTCTCCCTAGCCTATAATTTCGAGAGCGTTGTCTGTTGGCGGCGGAGGTAGAGAGGTGATTTTACTGCTCAGCAAATTATCATTATTAGCACAAGCTGCATCCGTAATGAGCTCATTCTCGCCTCTAAAATCAGTTTCGTTACCTGATAGACAAAATTCACTGGGCCTTTTGTTGGGATAGTTTGACTCCATGGCAATAAAGTGCTCCTTTAGGGTCGCTTCTGTCTCTTTCTGCTCAAGAATTGACAGTTCTCCCTGAGGTCGGTGTTGGGAGGCATTGCCAGTGTTCCCTGTCCCTGCTCCCCGTCCCAGAGTGGTGCGATGAGCAGGCTCTTAATAGGATCTCAATTATGGCTTTAAGTTAATGTTGCTCAAGCACAGCTGTAAAGTGCGGAGTCAGACTCCTTGAGTTCGTACCTCAACTTGGCTTTTTTATGGCTGTGTGTCTCTAGACATCCTCCTTAACCTCTCTGAACTTCAAATTCCTACTTTGTGAAATGAAGATAATAAAAGTGTCTACCCAGTAGTGTGAGTATAAAGATTAAGAGATGAGGCAGGTCAATCAGGCCCATGTGTGCCCAGTAAATATTATTATCAGTTACATTTACTGTTGGGGTCAAGGGACCTGGAACAATGGCTATAGGTGATTCGGGTTAGAGGTAGGGAGGTGATGTCTGTGAGTCCGCACAGTGAGTTACTGGCAGAACAGGATTCGGAACCCAGTGCTCCTAGCCCCCAAAGAAGTGCTTTATTTTATCATAGCATTTTCCCTCTGGGATTCTATCCTGTGAGGCAGGCAGAACAGGTATGATCAGTCAACAATGAAAACAGCAACAGCAGCAGCTGATGAGTATAGAGTACTTGCTTATGTAGACTCTAAGCCCTTACCTGGAATAGCTTAGTTAATTAGTATAAATAATTCTGATTTTGCAGATGGGGAAACTGAGGCACACAGGTTAAGCAGTTTGCTCAGGGTCACACAGACAATACGTGGCGGAGCCAGAAATTGTACCTAGCAGTCTGAGGCCAGGGAACGCACACTTAACCTTCATGCCATGTTGCCATGAGAAGGGCCTGGCTGTGGGCCTTCTGCTCTCTACAATCCCAGACTGTGCCTCCAGGGTCTGGGGTCTGTCAGCTATAACAGACCCTTGCCCAATGACAGTTTTCCTAAAACCACTTCCATTTGCTTAAATTCAACCCAATTTTTGTGAGCATTTAAAGTATTTTCAACCTATTTGCCTAAGGGCATTTCTGAAAATTTTATAATTTATGAATACATTTATCAAATCTGCAGCTTTACAAAGCTTGGGGTTGTTTCATTTCCCCTCATTGTTCTTTTTTCCCCTCATTTTATCTATTTATGAACCTTTTGAGGACCTTTTAACTAGTATGTCCACAAAACATTTCTGTAAAGATTTATCGTCGTGACTGCAGTATTTTATTTGAGTGCTACCTCAGCCCCTTGCCCTGAAGGTGCCAACCCCTTTAATAGGACATAAATTACTAAGACCCTTCCTTCTAAGCTGGAGGTTGAAAATTCTGTCCATAAAGAGCCAGAGAGTAAACACTTCAGGCTTCATGGGCCTTGTGGTCCCTATGGTCACACTATTCAGTTCTACCCTCTAAGCAGGAAAGCAGCTATAGACAATATGTAAACAATGGGTGGCCGTGTTCCAGTAAAACTTCATAGACATTTTAATTTCATATAATTTTCATGTATCAAAAAATATTATCTCTTGAATTTTTAAGAAACCATTTAAAAATGTGAAAACCATTCTTAGCTGATCATACAAAACAGGTGGGCCCATTGGCTCTAATTCACCCACCCTTGCTCTAAACCACCAATTAACACAAGAGGATGGAGCTGGCCAGTATCTAGTTGTAAGTGATTTATTTTGTAAGCAGCATGGGTCAACCTGTTGAGAGACACCCCCTTGGAGGATCCAGAAGCAGAATCTCCTGTACAGAACACAGAGAATACAACCCAAATCCACTGGCAAGAGGAAGGGGGACAAAGTATGATTTGGAACTTGTATTAGCCAGGAAAAAGCCTGCAATTGCTTGAGAGAAAAGGTAGGAACAAAGGCCTTATAGAGGCTTTTCATACTCTGCATTAAAGTTAAAATCTAATTTAGATGAAAATGGATGCATAGAAATTAAATGTGCGTGCTTGGCTTTCGTCGCTAAGTTGTATACCCGGTAACGATAGCTTTACCAAATTTATTCCCTTGGCTTGAAAATAAAGATGCTTTTTGAAATTTGATTTTGTTGTTTTACAAATTGTTTTAGCTTTGTGAATAGTACAAACTCCATTTCTGATCTGCCTCAAACAAAAATAGAGCATTAAAGTGTTTAAGATTCAATCAAAGGCTTGCTGTGAGCGGCACAATATTAAAATAACGGAAAAATCAATTCAATTTTTATTTTGAACATGATTTTGTCACAAACAGCATTCTAATAGATAACACTGATTATATGGTAGTCAATGTAATTTATATATACCAAGCGCTACGCCTTTGTCAGAGTCAGCATTAAGGAATTTGACACGTATGCAGGAGAACAATAAATGTCAACTGAAATATACACCAGTTAGATATAAATGGGATGCTGAAATGAGTAACGCTGGCACATGCTATACTTATAAGTAATAATATGCAGTCTAAAGTAGCTTGGGTTTTCAAACAAGAACTCTTTTTATGTTGTCATTTAAAATATCTCATATTTCTGAAGGTCAGGAATAAATGGCACTATTAGCATTAAAAGCTAGTAAAAGAAAAAGTAATTTGTTGTTCATTTAACATAACATTTCATGAAATAGCTTTGTAAAGTATTCATTTTTTCCCCCTATGGAGGCTGAGAAGACAGGATGAAGATGCCCGATTCTCAAGAGAGGGCTTTTTATCGCTCCTTTGTTACTGTTAACATCTTGATTCAGTAAGATCTGTGTGGAATTATGCAGTTTGTGCCTGGGCAGGTGAACGCCATCAAATAAAGATGTCTACACAACTGCGGTCTTGGCTGGCTTCCACAGGGTACTGCCCAGGTCCTAGGTTTGGTCCTCAATAGTAGTGCTATTTGGTGCAGGGATGACAATATGACATTAGGGACATGTGACAAGAATGTCAGAAACTGATGATGGAGAGAAAGAGGAGGGAGGCTCTTGTGGTTCTCGGGAACAGCGGCAGGTAAGTCAGGATTTGAATCTAAATACAGACGTGGGACTCTCTTGGGGGCAGTCAGCCATGGAAACCCACTCAGTCATCTTTCACCAGCTGCAGGTCCTGAACTCCAAAACATTGCAAACCTTGTACATCTGGGCTCCTGGGTAGCCCTCTCGGCTTCCCTAGAATCAGTCAATTTCTTTCTCTCCCCTTCCTCTTAAATTTATATAAAAAATTACAATGCAAAATAAAATAAAATAACATTCTAGCTATTACCACCTGGAATTACCAGAGATGAAGCTTTTATCATATTTACTTCAAATCTTTATGTAACGAAAAATAAATATGACATTTCTGGTAACCAAGGGTTCTAAATGGCCTTCTAAGCCATGTTTTGATGTTTTGTATGACGTATGTGGTGAGTAGTAGTATTTTGTAAATAAAAATGGATATAAGTAGTAATTTCTGTATCTAAATGATACCTGCCTGACACTGGCTTTTCTCTTCAGTGGGACATTTTGGGAATCTACCTATGTTGATACAGATGGGTCCTAGATTATTCTTTTTCATTGCTAAATTTACATTTTGGGTAATCTGACAGATGTGAGTGTTATTTTGCTGGTTTCATTTGTATTCCCCTGATTACTAGTGAGGTTGAATCTCGAGACATTTGTTATTTAGTTTTCCTCTGTGTAGCTTGCCTGCTCTTGTTCTTTGTCCATTTTTCTATTGGGTTATCTTTTTCTTCAGGAATTCCGAATACTAATCCTATGTTGCATCCACTTCAAATAGCTTTCCTGAGGCTGGGGCTTGTCTTATCTCTTTGGCTTTGGTGTCATATAACTCGTGTCAGCTAGCCTTTCCTGCTTCCTTTAGTGAGTGTTTATTATGTGCCAGGCACTGTAGTACACGTAGAAGCAGACGAAGCTGGGATTCAAGGCCAGCTCGGCCTCTTCGCAGAGCTGAGCACTTAGGCCCTATATCACACTATGGGATTTTGTACAGATAAAGATAGAAAGTGTCATTACGAACTCTTGAGAGGAAACACACACAGTGGTTCTCAACCTTGGCTATAAATCTCCTGAGGAGCTTTAAAAATCTGGTGTCCCAACCCAGAAATTGTGATGGTCTAGGATACAGCCTAGATATGGGATTTTCTTCTAAAGCTCCACAGTGACTCTAGCATGCAGCCAGGACTGAGAACTTCTGTCCTATAGTTTGTGGTTTTATTGAGATCTAGAACATCTGTAGGTTTCAGACAAGGACGTAGTTCATTGTACAAGGCTAAGATTTTAAATATTACATAGGGCTTCCAGAAAAAGAATTTAGAAAATAAAAAGAAAGAAAAGGGAAAAAAGGAGAATGAAACAAAAATCCCAATATACTGTACTTTGGTTCCATTATGGATTAGGGGCCCCCCTGTAAAGGGAAGCGAAAGCTCCTTTCCCCCCATCTCTGAATCTCAGTGGACGAATCACTTGCAGTTCTCTGCAAGCATCAGCCACTGCTGTCACGATGCCACTCTCTCTATCTGTTAGATGAGGCCATTTTTGGATTCTAAGACTCAAACAGTGAGTAGCCCCATGCTGGCCCAATAGGTGCGCCTTACTACCCCACCCTACTCAGGCCTTGAAAATGACACCCTCTACCTGGCACCTGCCCATTTGCTCACCAGTGGCCCCAGGAATGACTGACTGGGCAGTTCTGCTGGGGGCACATGGGAGGCTGTGGGGGGGTGGGCAGGACCCCAGGCTGGCATGTCCACATTCTGTACAGGCCCCAGCAGCTCTGCACTGAGGGAGGTGCCAAGCCCCAGAGCTGGGCGCAGCCTTGAAGGAAGACAATGCAGGCTGGAATATCAGGCTCAGGGAGGAAAGCTGGAAACCTAGTCCTGGCTGTCTCACGTGGCCCTGACCAGGTGTGAGTTCAGGTGGTTAGAGGCCTCGCGGAAGCCACTGGGGTTATGGGTACCTGCGGAAGCCTCCGAGTATGAGCTGGGCATAGACCAGCCAGGTACAGGCCCTGTGAGCAGCTGCTCCAGGCCCTCCAAACTGATTTTCTATTTCCTCCCAGGGTGAGGGATAAATTGAGCAAAATATTTGCATATGACAGAATATTCCAATTTTCTTAATATTAAAGAGCTCTTTAAAGTAAAAATTATATTAAAAAGATGCCTAAAATTGGCAAAGAATTTGGACAACTCATAGAGAAAGAAACACAAAGAGCCATTAAACTCGGAAAAGATGTTCACCCTCATTCATAATAAAATCTATTAGAATTACAATGCAAGGAAATGCACTTTTACCTGTCAAATTGGCAAAAGGTTTGACAATATGCCACGCTGGTGAGGGTGTGAAGTGCTCTCATATGAAATTGCCAACATTTGACTTTTCTGACCTGTACAAGTGGCAATTTCATGTGGTTCAACCTATTATATTGTTTATTGAAGTGTAAATTGGTATAATCACTACAGAGGGTAATTTGGCAATATTGATCAAAAAAATAAATGTATTCCAAATAGTTATTGGTCAAATATATATAACATAGAAAATATCATAAAAGGGCATTAATTACATGAATATTTGTAATAGGACCTCATGGACTCCTCAGCTCCCCATCTGGCTGGGTGAGCCAGTGGGCACTATGGAAAGAACACGGACGGGACTGCAGAAGACCTGGGCCCCAGTCCTTGCTGTGCCTCACACCGTGTTACCTGCTTAAGTACAGTAGCGCTCCTGCCCCCAACCATCTTTGGTTTCAGTTACCCACGGTCAACCATGGTCCAAAAATATTAAATGGAAAATTCCAGAAATAAGTTCTTCATAAGTCTTAAATTGCATATCATTCTGAGTAGCACGATGAACTCTCACACTGTCCACTCTGTCCCACCTGGGACGTGAATTGTGCCTTTGTCTAGCATATGCACGCTGTATAGTGTGTACGTACAGAAAAAAACATAGTATATATACAGGGTTCAGTGCTATCCATGCTTTCAGGCATCCACTGGATAGGGGTTCTGGAACATATCACTTGTGGTTAGCGGGGAACTACTGTATACAAAGTAATGGCACAGCAACTATGACATCTGATCCTTCCGACAATACACTGAGGAATTGGAGTATTACTGCTTTTACAGCCAGTAAAGTTAAGGCATGCAGCTGAATAAAATCTTGGTGTGTATTTTGAGAACATTTTGAAGCCCAATATTCTTTTCCTTTAGCTTCCCTGTGTGGTCTTAGACAAGTTACTCAACTCCAACTCTCACTTTCCTCATCTTAAATGAGAGCAGATGAGAGGTGACGTTTCCTTCATTTTCTAACATCCCATTTTCCAACTACCCTCTTTTAAAATGTCCTTCTTTCTTTGCATATTTTAAAACAGTTATGTTCTCTCCCAACCCAACATGAGATTCTATTCCCTCAGAATGAGAAGAGCTTGCCACTGTGATTCCCAACACAGTCTATAGCCCTCTTATGCTATAGTCTCCAAACAAACCAATTTACATTAATATTTGCACATTAACTGAAATCAACTCAGAGGTTTCCCCGTGTACTTCCTAGCTGTTGTCCTTATTGTTTGAGATAAAACACTCTCCATAGTTGCCTGTTTCTTGAATCTATGCCTACAGCCACTGCCTTGCCCCTGCCAAGTTGAATTTTGTCTAAGGAAAACGATGTTTGATTTTTCAAAGTAAATCAGACAGATAGATGGAGAGTTGAGATGAATAGTTAGGTAGATGAATGGATGAATGGGAAGATGAAAGGATGAGGAGACAGATGTCTAGGAGGGAGGGTGGATGGATGAGTGGATGGGTAAGTGATTCAGTGGATACACAGAAAAAGACAGAAGAATGGACAGATGGGTGGATGAATGGATGGGTAAATGGATACAAAGATGGGTAGGTGGGTGATAGGATGGATGGATGCATGCATAGATGGATAGATTGATACATAAATATAAATAATCAGACTTAGATGGAATAAAAGATACATACTCCGTCCCATCTTCACCACTTTGCACTGTGATCTGGGAAGCCCCCAGTTTGGGTGAAAAGAGATTTATCACATGGTTGTTCCGGAGGAACTTAACCTTCTGGATTTTTCCAACATTGATATCCACCTCAATGTAATGTACGTGACTTGCATCTGGTTTGAGGGAGCCTCTGAAAATATAACATAAATGTTATACCAGCTGGATATAGGAACACATAAGATGATAGTACTCCATTGTTTCACCAAACAATGGCTGCTGTTGTTGGTTTTCGGCAAATACCTCAAATGACTTCATATGCATCTGGGAGCTGCCCAAACACAAGTGTATTTGTGCATAGCACACCTTTTAAAAATATTGGACCCCAGATTTCCACTATTCTACTTTGTCCCTAAAGAAAAGTCAAATATTTGGGGTGGCGTATTAACCTTATAAGTTCTTGCTACAGGACCAGTTGATGTAGTGTCCTAGGTAAAGATGCATGTGGTTCAGCCAATGCCATCTGTTAGCGTCTCATACGTAGGTAGCACAGGAAGTTGTCAAAGAAATTTACCTCAATGTGAAAATTATTACGCAAAGTTAGTGCAAAAACAGAATCTAATTTTACCGCACAGGTTATGTGTTTGTCCAACACATATTTACCAAGCACCTCTCTATGCCCAGCAAAGCCAGTGCCGAGGCCACACAGCAGGAAGAGGCTGGCCCCAGGCTTAATGTGTACCTGTGTGTGGTAATGAATTGTGTGTTGGAAATGTGCCATACAGATGTGCATTGCCTAAGGAGAGTTTGATGTTCATAAAAGGCAGGTCAGGTGATTGACATCCCAAAAGGAGTTAGCACATGACTCATTTTAAATAGTGAGTTCCCTCTCTCTGGGCCTCACTCTTCTCTTGTGTAAAATGGGATAATTGAACTCTTAGATGCTAAGACTTCCTTCCAGCTTGGACATTCTAGGATTCAATGGTTCTGTATAATAAATGCCTAGATTTATAAAGGAGTTTATACCCAATGTTTTATGAATAATCTATTAAAGTATGGTTATTGAACTTACTTGAAAATCTCATATTGTTTTGAATTTCCATTACTCCCATACAAAGCAATCCTGATGTACCCTGTCACTTTCTTTTTTTCCAGACAGTGTGACTGATACCTTATATCTCCAGCTTGTCCAAAGAAATACAATCAGTTCAATGAACTCATTTTATTGAAAAAATGACCCAATGGAAGCATTATTGTTCCAAGCTCTGAATCCCCTATGGGTGGGAGGTAAGGGGGGATGTGACTTAATTGAATTCCTGGGACCCAGAATTCAGATTCTAGGTGGGGGTGAGGGACTCAGGGGACAGTAAATACTGTGGTTCAGCAGAACCCCTTACCAACACAGTAAGGTATGTGTCTTTGGACAAATGAAGGGCAGCCGGTTACTGCACATGTGTGTCCTGACCGATACACGGTGCGGTGGACTGAACGTCTGTGTCCCCGCAACATTCGTATGTTGAAATCCTAACCCCCAGAGTGATAGTATTAGGAGGTGGGGACTTTGGGAGATAATTAGGTCGTGTGAGAAGAGCCCTCATGAATGGAATCCGTGCCCTTATGAAAGGGACCCCGGAGAGCTGTCTTGCTCTCCTTCTGCCATGTGGGAAGATACAAGACGATGGTAGTGCACCAGAACCCAATCATGGCAGCACCCTGATCTGGTACTTCTAGCCTCCAGAGCTGTGAGAAATAAAATTCTATTGTTTATAAGCCACCCAGTCTATGGTATTCTGTTATAGCAGCCTGGACCGACTGAGACACTTAGTGTATTGCATGGTGTTTTGTCACTTGTCTTTTCACTTAATATTCCTTAGACATTTTCTGTCTTCAGTACATAGAGATATATCCTTCTTTTTAATGGTTACATGTAGTATTTAATAGTATTTAGTCATTTGCCAACTGGTGGACATTTAGATTTTCCCCTCAATCTTTTGCTATTATTAATAAAAATGAGTGAACATCCTTGAACATACCTTCTTATGCACACATGCAAGTACTTTTCTACCGTGTGTTCTGAGAAGCAAGTGACTGGATTACAGAAATATGCATATAAGACTTCATAGATACTGCCAAACTGTTATCTTTCACGGTAAATATTGTGAGGGTTACATGGAATACGGTATGTGAAAACTGTTTTGTAAAGTGCTATATACATTTTTTTAAAATTTAAAACTCCCTTAGAAAACAACTGCTCTTCTCTCCAGCCATTATATGATATTATTTATAGCAAACGACTCTTGATTGATTTTACTATCTTGCACTTTTTTAATGAGAAGCTGAGCAAAACAACAACAACAACAACAACACAAGATGTGTGTGTGTGCGTGTGTATGTGTGTGGGTGTGTAGCAGGTCTTCTGTGACAGATAATCATAACTGCAGTGACTTCTTGACTTACAATGACTTTACCCTTACCTCATGTTGTCCTCTTGTTCCGCTAGTAGATGCATCCTTCCTGCAACAGGGGTGGGTGGACACGTGACCCAGCCTGGGTCAATCATTGTACTTTATTCTCCTAATCAGGATTGTTGAGTAAAGGGGTACACATGAGATCCAAGACAAATTCCATTCTACTATTCTTACGTTATAGCTTACTGGTTGTAGTTGAGTTTCCATCAGTTGCTACCAAGGGTCCTGCCTAATAAGGCTGGCACACCTTTTAAAATTATTAATATTTGCAAGCACTTTAAGTGAGTAAAGTGAAAACTTATGAGTAAAGTTACCACTTTCTCCTGTGTTCAAAAAATGTTTGTCCCACAGCACTGGTATTCCCCTTAAATTGGTCAGCATAGTGCCCCATTTTGGGGCATCCTTCAGCTGGACAAGGGAAACAGCCATTCTAGTGGAAAAAAACCATAATTTTTTCTGTTAGTGGTAGGCCTTTGATTAACTCAATCAATCAATGCATTTATCTACCTATCTTACCATCTATCCATCTACCCATCCATCCTCCATCCAGCCTCTCATCTACTACTCATCTATCCTTCCATTCATCCATTCATTCTCCCATCCATCCACTACTCCATGCATGCAATTATTTGTCTGCCTATGCATCCATGCATCCATGCATCCATCCCCAGAATTGTGCACAGAACCATGCTAGGCCCTTCTTTCAGCTTCTGTGTAGACTGGAAATTTTTCTAAAGGAAGAGCTGGGGACCCCAGGGAGGGCCCAGCATAGTCTGCACCTCTCCCCTCCCACCTCCCACTCCTGGAGGAAGAAGTCTGTGAGAATTTCCAGTATCTCTCCCATTGGTTGCAGAGTTACACCTGTATGTTCTATTCTAAGCCAAAGTGACAACAACATGGACGACAGGGCCACCAACATCTTCCCCAGCCTCCCTGGTGTGACCTGCCTCCTGAAACTCACTGTAGGAGGCACAGGGGTAGCCCAGAAAGCCATCGGGGTTGAGGATACTGCTTGCATAATACTTGTGGCTTCGCAGGTGATTGCAAGCTACAAAGTTGGAAGTCCCTGAAAAAGCAAAGGCCAAAGGAGCTCAAAGGAAGCCTTTCACCTGTGAAGTGTGAGCCATTCTGACCAAGTGAGGAAACACCTCCACGTTTCACCGACGAGTGCCAGCACTCCTGGACACTTTGGGGCACTGGCTGAGGCCAGGCAACTGTTGAGGAGTGACGAGTTCTAACAAGCACATTGATCCACTCCTCTAGGGGCCAGGAATGTGTTGTAAATGAATGAAGAGGGCTGGGGATCTGGATCGTGGTGGGGGAGACAGAGAGAGTCAGAGAGACAAAGAGACTAAGAGAGAAGAGAGAAACAGCATTTAAAAGGGATCCTGCACAGCCCGGCCAGTTGTTACATGTTAAAGGCCCAAATTTCTTGGTCTTCTAAGTTTTCATGAGAATCTCAACTTTTACATGAAAATCTTCCCACGCCTCAGTGGTAGCAGTGCATCCCCATTTTTAAAATAGTGGCCATGCAGGCCCATGTAATGCTGCTGTGGATCGCACTCGCCCCCCGTGTGAGGACTCCGGGCCACCAGGACAGGCCTTTCCTAGAAACCAACCTCTTCTGTGCCTCGGCCTCAGGCGGAGAAATCTCTTTGCTGTGCCGGCACAAGGCACAAGGAGTGCACAGTGAGGTCGCCGTGGCCCCCAGCTACTCTTTCAGTGCATTAGTCACCACTTTCAACTCAAGTCCTCTCGTTTGGAAAACTGTTTTTTCATTCTGGCTACTTGGTACAAAACTTCCCATGGAGTAATTCACAGTGACCTCGGACACAGCTGGGGGCCAATCCTGGAGGTTGGGTGGGCTTCACCTCCCACCTGCTGTGGAAGGAGACCCCTTCTGGTGCCGGGTGGATCTGTTCTCCACGGCTTCTGGCCAAAGCCGGGTTCTGTGTGCCTCACGCCAGCGTTCATCACCAGAAAACAGAACCTGTTTCAGACTTAATTGTTTCTTTTATCCAAAATTGCTGCCCAGGGACTCCATAATAGGGGAGAAAGTGGATTTAATTGTTCCTCAGTGCCCAGCGCCTGGGTGACTCAGAGCTCAACACAATAGAAACACACTCCAGAGTTCATGGACTTGTTCACTCTAAATTGCCTCTCTAATTAAACCTGGGCTCGTTCCTATTATGTGAGCCTTGCTTGTCATTTGTGGGAGGGGGCAGCTATTATTGTGACACTGGTGTTCTTTCAGGGAGCAGGGAATAGCCACATCTTCCCAGAAGTTACCTGGTACAGAGCTGAGCGGTCAAGAGTCCCATTTACTTGTCAGTGGAAGCTGGGGCTGCTTTATCAACTCTGCTCTTTGATGTCAAGCACATGGAATATTAAAATCCTGCACAAGGCCATTCAATTAAACTTAAGGGAGTATGTAGTGACTGCTTTGGGCTAGGCCCTGAGCAGGGTACTGGGGTGTTTGGGATGCCCAAGGCACAGTCCTTGGCCTCTGGCAACTCCCAGCTCAGAAAAATAAAGACAAATAAAATGATCAGGGCTCAAAGCCTCCCCTTTCAGGGAGGAGAGTGAAGCCTAGTCTCCAGGGAGAGGGCAACACAAATAGCCAAAGGCTAGAACAAGAGGCAGCTAATGTATATGGTACCTTGAAGTCACTGAATGCTAGGGGTATGTTTCCTGTTCTCTCGGATGAACAGAAATACACACCAGCAGCCACCATGGGTTCCCCCAGACCTCCAGGCCTTCCCCTCCCACATGCACCCCAATCCCTCCTTTGTGCTCTTCTTACCAGCTCAGTCCCCTTCCATTCCCAGCACCTGACAACAGCAACCAGCAAGAAAGTCAAAGCCCTTTGACTCTTCATTGATGCCCTGAAGTTCTTTAAGGAGCAGGTGCTGAAGGTAGAAGGGACAGCCCGAACCAGAGCTGAGTATTTTCCAGTGGGCCAGTCAGCCCTCATCCCAGCATCCTGACCACCGGGGGAGATAGCACAGGCTGGGGCATGAGATCAAGGCTTTATAGTCGGAAATTGGGCTTCAATATAGGGTGGCCTTAGACAAACTGTGTAACTTTTCTGATAGTAACTGTCACATAGCATTGTTGTGAAAATGCCTGGTACAGAATAAGCCCCCAGAAGTGGTGGCAAATTCAGTATTAGGAAGGCCAGACCATACATTCTACTTTCTCCCCAAATAGAGCAATTGCTGTCTCTTGAATTTACTTACCTTCCCATATTCCATTTATATCAATGATGATTGAAAGGATATTTTTCTGCATCCAGGCATTTCCTTTCCTCCATTTGGAAAGAAATCCAGGTGGCCCACCTTTTGGCTCATTCCAAAACCTAAAATATTCGAAGCAGAGGTGAGCAGGAAGCTAAGTGGTCCCAAGTTAGGTCGTGGCCACAACAAGATGTTCAGCTTGTACCAATCAGAGACAGAACGTTCTTTGCAGATTCTCCCCTCAGCGCAGCCACCACCACCTCTAGCTCTTCGGAAAGTTCTCAGAGATGGGTACTTGGCAAGACGAGGACGGAAAAGAGAACAGATGGGGGAAGCTGGGCTCTGGCTGAGTGTGCACACATATATTAGTATATGTGTCTGTCTGTCTTGGGAAGGCCCTGGACAATACTGATATGCCTTGATACCATTATGCACCCGTAGAAACCTATCAGGACTAGTGCAACTTTTATGACTTCATTCATTTTAAAATTCTGATTTCTACATTACATTTTTATATTGAAAGCCATAGCTTAACGGCTAGGAGCTTTGGCTTTGAGGCCCACAGGTCTGTGATCAAATCCTTGTTCTACTTACAGATTTAGTGATCTTGAGAAATTAATTAACTTCATTGAGAATCAGTTCTCAGTTATGAAATGATGACAATGATACCCACTTTCTAGGGTGTTATCAGATTAATGAGATAATGTGTACAAAATGTTCAGTGCAGCACATGGTAAACAGTAATTGATAACATCATTATGATCATCATCATCATCAAAAACATATCCTTTATTGGCAAATTTATGAGTAGTTACATAATATTGGAAAAAGAACATTGATTTTAGAAGAATTAAATAAAAGGATAGATTTAGTCTCCAACAAAACAAACTGTAACCGAAGCTTTGACAAAAGAAGAAAAAAATACAAAAGTTAACTTTGTATTTTGCAAGTACCGGTCAAGTATCAAAAATTACACATCTGCCACTTTAGGTATTGGTAGACTGGGGAAGGATATAGGGGTTAAGGATTGAGTGAAAACCCACCATACACTATAGAATTGTTTTTTGTCTAACCTGAGGCTGCAGGCTGATACCACTGACATTGTACCAGTTATTTATTTGAAGCTGGTACCCATTTTGAATGGTTGGTGCCCAAGCCTTTCTTGTAGTTAACCATTTTGAATAGCCGCTCCCTGAAATTTGTGTGTATATGTGTGGAGGTGGACCTGGGCCCAGTGTCATCAATTCTAGCCCTGGTCATCAGGAGATGGGATTGAGGAACTCACCTAGGGAAGGGACTATGGGAGCAGAATCCGTGTGAATCACATCCACAAACGCAGCATTGGATGGGTCCAGCCGAACCTCCTCAGGCGTGCCCTGGAAGCGTGGCTCTGCTGGATCTAGCCCCGAAAGGGAGGAGTGGACAAGCTGCACTGTAAGAAAAATTGGGATCTAAACCCCGTCCCTGCAAACTGAACATGAGGATTCTCAGGCAAAGGGCCTCATGCTCTAGCAGCTATGGTTTAGGGGATTGGGTCTGTAGCTCCTGGTCTGCTTGGGAGAGAGAGGCTGGGACGGAAAGGCCAGGAGTGGGGTTGTTGCCTGTGGAGGAACATTTGGAAATCCCTAGTGCTTGGCTTGTGGAGGATTGGCGGAGCACCCTTGCCTCCCACTGGCATGTCCATTTTTCTTTCTGTCCTTACATGTTACCATTGGCCATTGCTCTGAGAGACTGAAGCTCCCTGGCCTTCCCCAGCTACTCCCCAGTCCCCGAGCCCTGCACACTTCTATTCCTTTGTGTCTTAGCTCATGCTGTTCCCCAGCCTGCTGTGCCCTTCCCCACATTCTTCCTTTATCTAAATCTTTTTCCTCTCAGACCCAGCACAAACACCACCTCAGCATGGTTAAATGGAGAATCTAACTCCTCTCCTTTCTTGGCCCATTCCATCCACATTGCATTATTTTGCATCTGTTAATTCTGCTGTGGATTTTATTTGCCTACTCCGTTGTCTGCCTCCTGGACTAGACTGTGAGTTTCCTGAAGCAGGGGCTGTGCCTAGGTCCTCTGTGCCCAGGAGTGGGCCACACAGTGATCTGTATTCTTGCCCCACTTCTGCTCCAGGCCAAATGTATGTCCTCTCGGAGCGTCAGCATCCTTATCTGGAAAGTAGGAATAATGACAACAGGCCATCTTACAGGGTCATTGTGAAAACTCCATGAAAAGATGTAAGAGAAAGCACTTGGAAAACTACAAAATTCTACATAAACATCAGCTGTTATCCCCCATCCTTCACCCAGTGCCTTGAGCAAAGGGATGTTGAACTGTTTGCTAAAGTTATATACTGATTCGGCTGCACAAAATAAATAGTTGTGTCTTTGTCTTGTATGCATTCATTCTGCCTAGTGATTCATTCATTCATTCATTATTTACTGAGCACCTTCTATGTGGAAGGTCTCAGCGAGCCACTTTCACTTTCTGCTTTCTCCTGGCACAGCGAAGACATTCAATAAATTTTACAGAACTGATGAATTTTTTATCATCTCACTTTTTTAAAAACTTTGCCTAGCAATAATAACCCTTGAGTCATGGATTTAATGTGCTAGTTAAATCTTTCTTTTTAAAAATAAATGTATTTTTATTTATAACCATCTATTTTCTATTAATAATACACATTAATTATTTTTAAATTTAAGTCCGGCATCAGCTAAAATAGAGGACCAGTAGGGGCGCCCTTCGCCCGGGAAGTGCACGGGCCGAGGCTCTAACTGCGTGCACCCCGGGTCTTGGGACCCCGGCCCGGCCCCTGCGCCCCCTACCAGTGATCCTGCCCACGTGGCCCCCCAGCCTCCTGCCCGCCTCCGCGGCCGCGTGCGCACCCAGGCTGTGGCCGATGAGGTGCACGTCCTTGGGGCTGTACCCCAGCTCCGTCTGCGGAGGGACGGCACGTCAGATCCCAGCGCACTGCATGGGGACCTGCCGGTCGGGAAGGAGGCGCGGGATCCTGCCAGGGATCGGGTCAGGACCCGGGCTCGAAACTCGGGAGGAACGACCGCCGGCTCGGGGATCGGACGGCGCGACAGGCCCCCAGGCTGCAGTCTGCGCGTCCCAGGGCCGGGTCGTGCGCGCGGCAACAGTGCTGACCAGCGGCCGCCGCGCCAACTGCAGGCGGCCACCCTCCACCCCGCTGCCGCCTCCCTTCCCTTCTCCCTGGCAGGGGTGGGACCTGTCCGGGAGAGCGTGGATAGTGGCCCCGGCCTGGGCTCCCTCAGGACCGTGGAAAGGGCCTCCCCTCACGGGCTGGCTGATACCTGCTGGGCAGTCCCTCTTGCGCTCTAATAACCACCACGGCCTGGGAGGACGGCCTCACTTCAAAAGGGGAAACTGAGGCTTCGAGGCTATTTTACCCCAGGCCCCCCCCGCTAGGAAATGATGGGGCGCGGTGTCTTCAGGGCCGTAGGCAAGGGAGGAACGTTCATCTTAGGAAGGGCATTTCTTGCTTAGAACCTGGACTCCTTGCTGCCAGCCCTGACCTGCCCACCGGTCCCCAGGCTGCCTCTGGGTGCAACGCGGTGCTTCCCTGCTCCTCTCTCTGTCCCCGGCCCACGGGACGGGCCCAGGCAGTGTTTTACCTACAGAATTTGTGTTAAGTAAGCGATCTCCGCCCCCACGACCCGAATATTCTGCACGGCTTGGGAATATGCTGTGCGGGCCCCGAGTCTCCAGTCGACAGAGATGCAGTTCACCTTCTCCACTTTAAACATTTTCTGGGGAAGACAAACAAGGGGCAGAAACCAATTTATAAACAGAGATAGGAATTCACATCCATCGGGTAACTAGCTTGTGTCAGAGCTTTAATATTCCTTACACCCATCATAACTTCATCCTCCTGCAACACTATGAACTGGCCATACTAACACCTGCTTAATTGATGTGGAAACTGGAAACAGACCTGGAACCGGTGACTTGTCTGAGGTCTCGCAGGTGGTTATTGACACAGCCAGGTCAAACAGACCATCTAACAGATCTGTGAGCAAACTACTACCCAACAAAATGTCAAATTCAGCTCCTCGGTGGCACCAGCCACATGTCAATAACCATATGCAACCAGTGGCTCCTGATTTAGACAGTGCAGATGTAGGACATTTTCATCATTGCAAAACGTTCTAACAGATAGTGGTGCTTTAGAGGGTAAAATTTAAGTGTTTTTTTTATGTCATGCAGGGGTTTTATATAAACCATCAGGGACACATGCCAGCAAGTTTGCTGTAGTCTCCAACTTGGGGAGACTTTCTGACTGGACTCTGTATCTCTGCAGCCTCAGAGGAGATGGTGGGCTAGGAATTGGTAGGTAGGGAGAACTTGGCAATGGATGCCCCTGAGAACCAGGCTTTCCTCTGTGGCTTTAGGAAGGACCCAGCCCTCCCTGGAGTATTTTCTTTCCTCTCTCTGGGGTGTTGGGGGTGCTGTTTAGGAATCTGTGTGTTGGGTGCTGGCCTCACGAGCGAGTGGCCAGGTGAGGAGAGCGGCTCCTACCTTGCACAGGTCTGACGGCCAGCTCTCCTCCCCCTTGTCTAGGAAGCCGTGGATGATGAAGCGTGTCTTGCGGTCCAGTCGGAAGTTTGAAGCCTCGATGGTGTCTGGGTCGGTCGTAGTGATTCGCTGATTTAATTTAAAAAGATGATTTTGAATGTTGGCCTTTCCAAGCCATGGACCTGAGATCACAGGTTCAACTCCCATGAAGTTGAGTCAAACTAGAAGGAGCTCCTGACCTGGGGTTGTGGATAGAATTCAGAAAGTCCAAGTTCATGGACTTCTATTTTCATGAATCCCTAACTGAAATCTAGCGTCTCCGTTAATCACGAAATTAAGCAACAAACCACAGTGGTATTAGCAACACCCGTGACTCTGTCCCAGTAGAAGTCACAGACATTTTTTAGGTTACATTGTAGTTATTGCAGATATCTCAAAATATCATTTATACTCATCACTATTTTAAATGACAGTAGTTATTAGACCAACTCCTAGATCCCGTTAGTGAGATAATAAAGCAGCACATATATTACTATTAATATATCACATATTTATATTTTTAAATGTTTTGATAACTATTTTTCGATATAATGGGGTTCTTTTGTAATCCAATATATTTTATTTTATGCATTTAAAAACATTGCCATGAGATGGGCCTGTAGGCTTCCCCAGGTGGCCAGAGAGGTCTCTGGCACAGAAAAGGTGAAGAACCTCTGGGCTAGAGCATTAGGCCTGAGGGCAGATTCAGCTCAGTGGAGCTGTGTGACTTCAGAACACATTCCTAAATGCCCACAGGCCTGCCCCTTCCACAGACCCCATGGACAAGATGCCAGAAGGAAGATAACAAAATAGAAATAGCACAGTAACCATGTCCAAGCAGACTCCCGGCTACGGGCACTAAATGGAAATTTGTCACATAGGGCCCCACAGTGGGTGACCTCAGGGACCTAGAGACAGACACCTGACTCTCTATACTGTCAGGGACCAGAGCTACGAGCTGCTTGAATTCTTAGCAAGATCTTCCTTGAAACTGTCTCCTGCTTACTTCTGACCCCCTGGAGCAAGCTGTCACCTGGCAGGCCTTCTGGGAACTGAACAGTGCTCCAAGGGGCCTCACCTTTTCTCTTTTGCGGTTAAATGTCCCCCCTGCCCCACCTGTCTTCTAGCTCCTCAAAAAGGATTTACACCTCCTCAGCCTCAACTCCTGAGGGGGCTTCTCTCCCTCCATTTCTAGGAGACAGACTTTGCTGGGGATACCCTGGCTCTGGGTTTCTCCGTAAACGCTGTGCATACCCGCCTCCTCCCAGGGAAAGTTCCAAGGCAGTGACTTATGCCTTTGACAGCCAAGTGAAGACTCCACTGTGGGGGCCCAAATACACCCTCCATGCAGTCATTACATGCCCACTCTTACTTGGAAGTTGTTTGGGTTTTCATTTGTGTACAGAAGAAAGCCGGTGTCAATGTCCTTGGGGGCCCAGGGAAATAACTTGAAAGGTCGCTGAATGATTCCTGCCCATGGTTTCTCATCAGAAAGCAGCCAAAAGGCTGGTAGCAGATCTCTCTCCCTAAGGCAGAAAAAGCCACAAACAGGACTTTGTGAGGTTCTAGAAAGGAGCAATGTCATATCTATACAGGAAGACTCTGCAGGACCAAGCACAGCTCTGGCGAAGGCCAATGCTGGTCTTTCTTGGTTCACCAAACTTCTGTGGTGGTAAGAATCACCCGGGGGTGGGGTGAGCATGTACACTGCATATACACATTCCTAGTTCTCTCTTTCCGAGATTCTGATTCTGAGGGTCTGGGGAAGGGCCCCAGAAACACATATTTAATAAGTGCCCCTTATTATCAGGCAACTTGGGGAATCGCTGATCTACAACCTGCTGCCTTTAAACCATGGCCTCTTTCAGGAAAGTCCCAGGTGGCCCTTGACATATACTCACCCGATATCAAGTATTTAGCAAGTGCCGATAAACTCTGTAGTACAGAGACGCTACGTCTTGACATCTCCATTGCATCCAGCACAGGCCATGCACACAGTAGGCATTCGCTGGTGTTTGTCCCATTCGCATGTCTTCGTGTCATTCTTTTATGCGTGCTTTTTTTCAAGTTATTCTCTGCCATTTCAGATTTTCCCCATTGCTCTTTGAAAAGGCAAATTCCTTAAGAACAGGAATGATTTCTTTGTGCATCACACTGCATGTAGTAGGGGCTCAAAACACGCAATTGATGACCCAAATAACCATGTCTAAGTCTGAGAGTGGTGGCAGCTACTCACCTCTGACTGTGGCCAGGAGGAGAAGGACAATTGTCCAAGACAACAGCATCTGCATGGATAAAAACACAGACACTCCCAGACACCCACGTGCACAGTGTGAGGCTGGCAGCAGCAGGACCCACCCAGGGCAGGAGGCCTGGGGCAAACATGGGAGAGTGAGTGGAACAGATGCCCAGTGGCCTGGGCCCCACAGGTCTCTCCCTTGAGGTGGGGGCCCTGAGGCTGAGGCCTCCCAACACACAGAGTTAGACAGCAGCACACATGAACCCCGGGCTCAGGGGCTTCCACTGCAGTGGTTTCTCTTCTATGGGCCATGTCCCTCTGGCAGCCAGGACTGCCCCAGCCCTGCCAAGTCCCCTCCCCATGTGGGGCCGTGACTTACTGTGCTGCACCAGAGCTTCCACTCAAGGCCCAGCAGTTTGGCTGTGGCCTTTTATAACCTGGCTTTATCCTTTGGACTCCTTAGAGTAGAGGCTGGGGCAGGTTAGATATGGCACTGCATGTGGGTACTCTGAACCTAAGTTATCATAAACACATAAAGCCAGCTCAACCCGGGGAGCAGGATTGTTTATAAAGTAAGATTCATGGAAAGCAAAACCGACTTTGGAGTGGGAAAGGGCTCTGTTAGTCTGAGTTTACAGGTTCAGTTGCCAAAAGATTGTGTTCCCAAGGTGATAACTGGGAAACGCCAAGCGGTACATAGCACCTTTGGATCAAAATCCCTTTGGACACACGAACCCCAAACCCATCATATTGCCTGTTGCTCTTGACAGATGGTGCAAGGATGGGAAGTGAGAGTTTGTGAAGATACATGCCTTCTTTATCTTGGGGGTGGGATTGGGGGAGAGATGCCCTCTCCCCACTCAGTGAACCTAGACAGAAGATAAAATTGAAGGCAACCTCACAGATGGAGAAGCTCAAAAGGAAGATGAACATGGTTTGAATATAACTTTGTTTAGAAACAATATAGTTTATTTTAAAAGTATTTCTGAGCTGCACTGGCTATACCTTGGCCTGGAGATAAGAAGTGGAGGTGTTTTCTTTCCTTCATTGCCAGAGGAGAACATGGGGGAATAGCCAGGTGACCTCTTTCCATGTTTTAAATTGGCATATAGTTTAGATACACCAAAGTGCATAGGTCTTAAATTTAAAACCTAAATATAGTTTAATGAGTTTCAACAAATACCTATTCCTATGTATATGCCCCAGATCAAGATGTAAAATATTTTCAGCAGACAGCTCCTTCTGCCATCCTTCTAACAATACTCTGATTTCTGTCACCATAGATTAGCTTTGTCTGTCCTACAATGTCATATAAATGGAATGAAACAGTATGTACTCTTTACTGTTTTGCTTTTTTCACACAAGATGTTTTTGAGATTTATCCATGTTGTTACGTGTATCACTAGTTGGTTCTTTTTTTATTGCTGGGTAGTATTGGTATATTTCTGTGAGACTATATCACAATTTGTTTATCCGTTCTTCTGTCGGTGGACATGTGAGTTCTTTCCAGTTTGGGGTTATTATGAACGCTACTTCTAGGAACATTCTTGTCTAGTGTAACATAAGTCTTTTGGTGGACATATGCAGACGTTTCTCTCGGATTTATACCCAGGAGTATTGTGGGGGCCTGCGGTGTGTGCATGCGTAGCTTTAGGAGATGCTGCCAGTTTCCCAAAGTGGTTGCACCGGCAACCACTTGTTGTAAACTCCCACCGGCAGTTGGGTGGGAGCTCCAGTTGCTCTGCATTCCACTTCTGCCCTTTGATCAATCCCAGAAGCGCTGAGGTTGTCTGTAATTTCCTGAGGGTTTCCAGTGTAGAAAAATAGCGTTTTTCAGTGAAACTCCCTTCTGAGAATTCTGAGACTGGAGGTGAACAGTGTGGCACTGAGGGAAGCCAAGGAATGAACTTCCCTATCTCAAATGGGCTTAAGTCAAGTGGAGGTTTAAGGAACTGGTAAAGTGATGACGAAGCCTGAATAGGGTCGCTGATGCCTCAGTGAATCCAAAGCTTGGTGTTGGCACCCACTGCCCTTGGAGGTGTTCAGCAGCTGAGGGATGACACCTGATCCAAAGCTTGACTCTCATGCTCATAAAGGACCCCAATGAGGATGCCGGAATGACAGTATTAGGCTGAATGAAGCCCTAAGCCCATGACATGGGACCAGTGGCTGCCCGTAGCTCTTGGAAAAACATCTGAACTCCTTACTGCGCCTTTAAGGTGCAGTGTTATCTGGACCTTCCCTCCCTCCCTGGCCTCACCTGTGTCTCTCCCTCACTCACTAAACTCCAGGTGTCTCTGGAAAGTGCCCATCTCAGGGTCTTTGCATATTCTGTTTCCTCTTCCCCACACACTCTCCGCTTTCCCTGTCTAAGCCAGAGTCATCCCTCAGGGCTCAGTTTACAAAGAAGACTTTTTCAACCCTCAAATTGAGACTAGACCTTCCTTAACATCTCTTATCATGTTCCTTATCTTTCCTTTCATAAAAAGCATCCCAATTGATAATTATATTTCCATGACTATTTGTTTAGATCTTGCCTTGATAGAAGGGTCAAGGTCTGTATAGCCATCACCGTGTTGCTGGAGTCCAGTACCTAGCAGTGGGAGATGATTAATAAATATTTTCCATATGTAAGAATGGGGAGTTAGAAGTTAATGTCTCATCGAGTTGGTGAGCTGGATAACTCCCGTTTGCCTCTCCACATTCAGTCTCCTGTCTCCTCCTCCTGCCCTGTGCCCAGGACTGCCTTCCTGGGCTGCTTGGCTCTTGGCCTTCTGGTTGGGTTCAGCCAATGGGAGGCACCAGCAGACGATCAGAGGGTGGGAGGAGGAAGAGACTGGATTATTTATTCCCCAGGCTCTGACAGGCGCAGCTGGCCCCTGGACTCTCCCTAAGAGAGAATGATCACAGCTGTGGCCTGTGGTCCATTTTAGGTGTTTAGCTAAGCCTGGAGTATCTTCCTTTACTGATTCTATATTCCTAATGAAGATTTCTGTCTTTATTAGGAGAGGGTTTTGGGTTGTGTAGTTCTTTGATTTTTGGTTTTGCTACCCATATAGCAGCTAACCCATTCTGTGATTTGATTGTAGCCTTTGGTGAGGTTTAGCTAAGGCATTTTCAGATAGTCTGGTGGGTTCTTATCTTTCACATTCGCCTGGTTCGGGCCACAAATTAGTCAAGGAATCCAGGGAAACCTTCTCACCTGAGTGGCCAGTGGTGTCTCATCTGGTCAACATCCATCCCAGAGGGCAGAGCTAGAAAGAAAGGGGAGGAGGTTTTGGTTCCTTGAGGCAAGAAGTAATTCTTCTTATTTCCATGTCACAAGGGTCTGTTCTATAATAAATACCAAGGCAGGCCATGGTCATGCTTGCCCTCAAGGGGCTCACTGAGGCAGATTTGCTCAACATAAGGGAAACTTTCCAAAGGCTCAATTCAGTGGAAAATAGAATAGGGTTTTGTTAGTGGGGAGTGAGCTCCCTGCCTCACTTGAATGACATTGCAATTTGAGTAGAGGTAGGCAGAAGTCAAGCATCAGGTAAGGGTTGACTTAGGTGATCTACTTCCAAGGCCATTTTCAAATCTGGGATCCTACAAGAAATTTTGGAAACTACAACCTGGAGAGAGGATTCTGCCTTCTATCCAATTAAGAGTCACCCTGAAGGAGTCCATTATTTAAAGAGAGTAAGAAATAACCTAAGAGGTAATGATGCCGAAGGTGATGAGAAATATGCGGAACAAACACATCTGGGGAACACAGTGTCAAGGACAGGTGTTGAGGACCATGGGAGACAGCTGAGTATGGGAAAGGACTTAGATAGTGGTGGTTCGAAAGGTATCCTCAGATAAATGGCAGTGATCAAATCCAAGCTCTTAGATTCTGTGAAATACTCAAGAAATAGAGAGTCTTGTTTAATTCCTATTTTACAGCTCAGACAATAGAGGACAAGGAAGGTTAAAGGGCTTAGTATAGGAGCAAATGGAAGAGTAGGGCCCTGATGTCAGGCCTCCACTTCCTACTATGGTGCTATTGTCTCTCCTCTGCCAGGTCTCAGTTTGTTGATCTGTGAATTGGTGGAATCTAGGCTGATCTAGTAAAATTGTCCCTGCACCAAGCTGCACCCCAAAGAAGGCTGGATAACCCTGTTATAGTTACTGGTGGTTGGGGGTTGGGGAAAGATGAGGAAGACACACTAGGTGCTCCCAAGCAGTCCAGAGCCTGCCTGGTCTCTTCTGCAGGGTGACCCAAGGCAGGCCAGCTGGGCTACAGGCTGCCACCCAGGGGCACTCATTCACTTCCACTTGCCTGCCCATGCAAAACCAGCTCAGCTTCCCTCTCCTCTCTGGGGCATCCAGAGGACCCAAAGCTCTGCCAACTGTCTGATGTGGGAAAGAAGTGAAGGTCAGCACCTGTGGGAAAACTCACTTGCTGACCACATGGTTGGCAGGTGATAGGTGGCAGGGCCAAGGTCTGGGCAAGCCCTGCCAGCTGGCACAGCAGCTGCCCAGGGGATGGGAGTGGCTTGGGTCTTCCTTTGCTTGCACCTTTGTCCCTTAACACCTCCTGAATCTGTCCCCTCCCCTCATTCCCCCTGCTCTTGCCCTCCTGCAGCTGGCATCACCTCTTTCTAGGCCACTGCATGTCCCACTCCAGCTCAGCTTCCTCCCACTTCCCAAAGTCCCTCCTAGCTTAATCCTGTGGGTGGCTCCTCATTGCACAGAGATACATGATTCACATACTGGTTCACATATTCACATTCATTTTTATGTGGCTGCAATGTGCTGGACACTCTTCCAGCCTTGACAGTACAACGGTGAACAAAACATGCTCCTTCCCTGCCTTCCTGGGACCTATGGTCCCATGGGGCACAGGCAGTGATTACCTACAAATACATAATTACAAATGATCAAAAGCACAAAGAAGAAAAAGCATGTGAGGAGGGCTTATATATGGGCTACCACATAATTTGGGCTTCATCTAAAGAGAATAACTCCGTGGAGAGGGATCAGAATTCATACGGAATCCAAGCTCCTAAGCTGTGCATGTGAGGGTGGTGTCTTAGTCTGTTTGTGTTGCTATAATGAAATACCTGAGGCTGGGTAATTTATAAAGAACAGAAATTGATTTCTCACAGTTCTAGGGGCTGGGAAGTCCAAGATCAAGGACTCGGTGTCTGGTGAGAGCTGCTCTTGGCTTCCAAGATGGTGCCTTCTTGCTGTGTCCCCACGTAGTGAAAGGGGACAACAAAGGATCCATACCACATCCTCACATGACAGAAGAGATGGAAAGGCCAGGCAGCTCTCTGAAGCCTCTTTTATAAGGGCATCAATCCCATTCATGAGGGTGGAGCACGCTCATGATTTAATCACTTCCTCAAAGGCCCCACCTCTTAATACCTCCATAATGGGAATTAAGTTTTGACATGAACTTTGAAGGGACCCAAACATTCAGACCATAGCAAGTGGACACTGCTATGGTTGAATTGAGTTCCTCCAGAAAGGTATGTTAGAGTCCTAACCCTCAGCACCTGAGAACAAGACCTTATTTGGAGGTAGGGTCTTTACAGAGATAATCAAGTTAAGATGAGGTTATTAGGGTGGGCCCTAATCCAATATGATTGGTGTCCTTATAAAAAGGAGAAATTTGGACACAGAGACACACACATGGGAGAATGCCTTGTGAATATGAAGGCAAAGATGGCCAAGGAACGTCAAAGATTGCCAGCAAATCATTAGAAGATAGGAGTAAGGCCTGGGACAGATTCTTCCTCACAACCCTCAGAAAGGAGCAACTCTGCTGACACCTTCATCTTAGACTTCTGGCCTCCAGAACTCTGATACAGTAAATTTCTGTTGTTTAGGCCCCTTGGCTTATGGGACTTTGTTATGGCAGCCCCAGCAAACTAACAGCCACCATCTGGTCTCTGCCCAGCTTCATTTCTGCCACTCTCTTGATGCCTTCCCAGCTGATAAATGCCTATATTGAAGGGCTCACAGTTCTGGAAGGAGCCTGTTTTTCCCCTCTTCTGAGTTTTTTCCCAACCACCACCCCGCCCCAGCTCATTTCTCCCTGCGCCTTCATTCCAGGTCCCAGGGCAAACTCCCTCTATTGTCAAAGCCTGTGACACTGGACATCTCTTCCACATTTTCAGTTCCAGATCATGCTGCCCAAGATTTCTCAGACCTCAGTACATACATGAACTCTATTTATTCTAAAAAATTCTTGAAACCTCCTGGAATTTTGCTGTTGATTTCATTTTATTAAGCATCAACTCAGGAGACAAAAGTTCTACTGCAAATTATCCTGACAAAAAGAAAGTTTTATTTGTATTACTAGTAAAAAAAATAGATGATCATTGAAATGAAAACAAAAAATTAGTAATTTCTCAGAGAAGAGTGTGCATGGGAGCCCTGGGAGCTGAATATACTTGCATCATGGCAGATGGTCACCTGCCTGCACCTGGGGATCACCTGTGGGCTTTATAAAAAGGTCTGTGGCTTATGATTGCTCTTTAATTGGTCAGGGTAGAGATTGGAAGTAGATCACCAAAATGATCTTAGAAGTAGATCACTCCCTCCCCAGAGAGCCCCAGACTTCCCATCTCCCCAAGTCAGTGTGTTTGAGTCGTAGATCTATGGCGCTGAGCTTGGACTCCCCAGGATGTCAGGAAGTGGATGCTAGACAATCACACTGATTGGCAGTCAAGGTCCATGGTCTTGGAACCTGCTATTCTTTGCTTTCCTGGGAGTTTTCTCCAGCTGCATATCTGATAAAAGGACGTAGGTTCCAGGACAGCAATATAGGGATGTGGGAGGAGTGAGCTGGCTCTGCTCCAGCTCAAGTCTCCATCCATTGCCTCCCCTGCCCCTGTAGCTGGGACCCAGGTCACTCCAAGTCATCCTGAGGCTCAGGGTAGCGCCTAAGCTGCGTGCTTATGGTGTGTCCAAGAGCCTTGGAAGTCTCCCACCTGGCTTCCTTCTTCCATAGCTCTGTGCTCTTCTCACTTTTCTCCCTCTTTTAAAATCATTTTTCCCAAATCATCGTTTATACCTGAGGAGTGCAGTGAGACAGGCTTTCCTTGAGCAGGGAGCAGGGTTCTTACAAATGGACCACCAGCCGCACCCTCTCCATTATACCTAGGTTCCATTCACCACCCTCAGAGGTCCTCATCACCTCTTGCCTGGATATCCACAGGGGCCACCTCCTCCTAGCTGGCCTCCCAGCCTGCAGTCTCTGTAGGACGTCTTCCTTCAAACTTGGGCGTAAACCCACTGGATCTGTAAAGCCTTCCCATTTTGATCCTCCCCTCTTCTGGGACACCCTGTCCTGGGACTTACCTTGCTTCTATTTCTAGAAGGCAGCATGGTAGTGCTTATTGGGGGCAGCACTCCCTACTACTGCGTGCTCCCTGACAAGGCAGAGTTGGTGTCTTCTGCTTTCCACTCTCCCCAGTGCCTGGTACAGGGGTGGGAACAGAATTGGTGTTTGGTGTTTGCAGAATCCACCTTGCATTGATTGAGCTCTTTGCCAATAGGGCGCAGCTTTGCCTGGGGTGTGGTAAAACTGTGACAAAGGGCCTCAGCCTGGGCTCTCTTCTCTCTCGCTGGGTGCTAGGTGTCCCCTGCCACCGCCATCATCTTTATCACCCTCATCATCACCACTGTTTAACCGAGCACTCCGCCCTGTGCCCTGTCCTGGGAGGCCTACAGTCGCTCCTTCCATCCTCGCCACAACACTGCGTTTGAGGGATAACTGGAACCTACTCGCATTCAGGTCTGACGTGGCATTGCTGGTTAGAAACAGAGGCTGGGCACCGGAACTGCCGTGGTGGGATGTGGGGCCTGGTGATGCAGGAGGAGACCCTCTGAGGAGGCAGTGACCTTCCCGGATGACCTCAGGCTGGGCCACCTCAAAGAACGCCCCTGTCTCCCAGGGTCTGTGTGGGTGGGGCCACTGATCAGTGGTGACGACTGATTGGCCAGGGGTTCCCCAGGGGCCCAAGCCGATTGGCTGACAGATAGCCCCGCCTACGCAGGGCCCATTCCGTGCGCTCCTTCTAGAAGTCCTGCCTCCCACCCCTCCTCAGCCAGCCCCGCTCTGAGAGGGCTCCTGCCCCGGGACGAAGAGCCGGCCACAGACTGCCCCTGCTCAGGGGAGTCGGGGCTGGAAGCCGGTCCGCGCTCTTCGCAGGTGCCCGTCACAGGCTCTGCATACCTCACCCAGGGCCAGGGCCGCCCAGTGGTCCCATCACATCCAAATCTGCCGCCGCAGAGAGGCCTCATCATCCCGGGACATTTCCCCCAAGGTGAGTCAGGAGCCCGACCCTCTGTCTTGACTGGAACGCCAGGTTTGAACAGCTACGCCCCTCCCCACTGGGCCTCAGTTTCCCCGTGAAAGATGGGGGGCAGGGCTAAAGCCTGGCAGAGCTCTAGTTCTGCTGCTAATTGCCACCCCTCTCAGGTAAAGAGAAGACAGGGGGCATGGCGACCAAGGGAGCTGGGGAAGAGTGGTGTGTGATCAGAAGTCAATGGCGAGAAACCCAAGTATATGGAAATGCTCATGAAATTTTTAAATGTTCGACTCCCACTTGTCGCCACGGGCGGCAGCTGACGCCAAAGATGGACGTGTTGAGTAGACAGACGCGTCAGTGGATTTTATTGATGTGAACACAGCAGGCATTCCTGCCTGGAGTTCAGCAGGGCGTGACAGTGAGCAGCACGTCTTCTCTCACGGTGTCTTCGCTACAGAAGTTGTACCTGTGGAGAAAAATGAGTGCTTTTTAAGTGTTTGGGTATCTTTAGCGAATGCCCCGGTGATTTGAGTTGTCAAACCAAGGTAATTACTGATTTACAATTGAAAAGAAATGAGGAGAGCATAGGGCTGTAGCTTCAACCAGTTCCTGGAGAACAGGTTGTACCAGGGCTTTCTGGGGTGGGTTTCTGTTACGTTATAACATGAATCTCTCCAAACATCCTTAGGCACAAGCCAGCAAAGATACTTACACTGTCTTCTCCTCTCCCTTTTGCACGGTGATCTGGGCTGCACCCACTTTGGGGAGGGTTGGATTTATCACGTTGTTATTCCAAAGAAACTTGACTTTCTCAATTGTTCCAACATCAAGCCGTGCATCAAACTCACTGGTATGGGTTGTGCCTGGTTTGATAATCCCACTTGACAGAAGCAGAAACAATCATGTTCATAAAAATGAGTTCTAATGACCATATACAGCTTTGCTGCTTTTTTTTTTTTTTGATTCTAGACAAACAGGAGTATTTCTCCAAATTAGTTTCCAAATAAAGGATATAGAAGTGGAAAAGTCAGCTATATGCCAGTAGCCTCAAACTATTATTTATTGTTTTTTAAACTCTAGTTAATTTTT